TTGTCGCACGGTTTAACATCAACATCTTGCTCTTTTTTTCTTGCAAAAGAACAGTCGTGGAGAATAGTGCTAGGGCTCCTGAAATTGCTCGAAGTCTTGAAGAAACGTCAGCTGTTTGGATTTCGGATAGAAGGTTTTCGATGGATAACTTGAGTCAAATTATCTGCACATTTTGCAGCTGATAACATCAGTGATGTGTTTCTCTGCGGCTCAGCGGAGACGCTGTCCCCTCGCTACCTGCAGAAGGTACGGCGCGAGGAGAGGTGCGCTGCAGGTGTGTTGCTGGGTTGGTATCGCTTCTCGGCCTTTTGGCTAAGATCAAAGTTTAGTTTCTGTTCTTATCGAATTAACCTTCGATAGAGTCTCGAATGAATCTCGTTAAGGTTATTTGATTTTTGGAATCAGATGAGGTTGTGGGCTTGCTCCCAGCTCATCGCGGGTCGGCCCAGCGTTGCACTGCTGCAGGGATCTGCCCACACCCCCAAGGGAGTGAGCAAGATCGAGAGATTGGAAAGTTGGTAAGGTTCAGAGTTCGCGCATCCTAGCATGAAACCTCAGCGACACCGTCCAGGAATCAAGGTGCTCTGAATTTATCGAGATCTCTGCATTGCTTCTCGAAAGCACGGTAATTGCGCACTAGAATGATTTCGTGAGGATGGGAACTTTACGTCATTGTAACTTAGGTTTCCAGAAGACTCATGAGAAAAAAATCTTCAATTGTTGATAATTGCTATTCTTACGTCCTTGAAAATGCAAATTCACCAAACCTTTCGACATAGGGCGTAGTTTAGATGCGTACTTTGGACTAAGCGTTGCAACCGTGACTATCTAAATAAAAATAGTAAATCGAACAAAAAAAAACAATAGTTGAATCGAACGTTTGTTCAACCCTTCAAACGAGTTCTAAACCCGGAGAAGGCCACACAACATTAAGCCTTCTCCCATGCCCATTTCTTACGTGCAAGTGTTATCGACACCGCAGTCGCACTAAGTAACCGTCAAATTCCGAAACTTGTAAGACCGCCCTGAGCCTTTTTCTAGTTTCCTGTCTAAAATCAACGTTACTTCAGAGGGCAAACTTGGGTAAATAGTGTTACAGCAGATGTTGAAAGTGCCGAAAGAACAGAATATGACTACGATGTTCTTCAACCTCCATATCCCACCGCTGAATTGCACCGATGTCCATTTACAATAAGAAGACGTCATTTCATGAGACGGCCTCTGCGAATTCAGTTTTGGTAAATTGATTTAGATGAGTTCCATCTTACCTGGATATTAGCATCTGCGCATTCAGCGCTATTTTAGGTGCCCAAATTTGCGTGCAACACCGACAATCACTAGCAATCGCTCAAAAGAAAACACGCTTTTTGGCAGTCTACACTTGTTTGTGTGGTAGCTCGTCAACGAAAATGAAACCTTTCGCACTACATGACAATGCGTTGCTTTCAGGCCTCGAGCAAGGCTACTGCATGACGAAGGCGCAGAAGCAGTATTAGTTGAGCGTGCGCGAACGCTACAGGCGCTGTCTTCACCATTGTAATTGATCCTGCGCCTCGTGCGCTCTTCGGCTAATAAACCCGCGTTCGCTCTCGGGCGGAGGACTACATATAGTTCGATTTTTTGCCTGAAGCTGAAGAAGTCAGCAAACCTATAACAGATTCACCGTGATTTGCAGTGCTTCAAATGCGAATGGCATTTTGTTCATACCGCGCGAGCGGCTTGCCTGTGGCGCGCGCTCCAGTTACTTTTCTTTTCGGCGGCGTATAGTCCTCTACCCTTAGCGCTCCAGGATATTGTCCCTTCGTCATGCAGCAGCCTATACTTTATGGGATCGCACTCGCCACGCGATCTCGCAATCTGCCAAACAGACCACAAAAAAAAGCGTGTATATTCACGCGTATGATAAACTGCTTTATCTTCCATACAAGCACGCGTTTACGATCAGTCATATATAAAATCGAAGTATGGCCAAAAGGTCCGCTCGGGAACTTGGAGAAAATCGAAATCTCTCACCAAAATTCGAATCCCTTTGAGAATTGCAAGGCTTCTCAACCTTAAATAACTCTCCACGGCTACATCTGTACAAAACAACAAACACCCCGTCGTCTAAGGGCCATAGAAGCAACGCGAAGGGATTGTCCGGCTCTACCCCAAATATGGCACATGAAGGAGGGCGTCGCACGAAAAGGCTTAATAAAACGTAAGGCATCATACCGCGAGCGATCCCCCACATCCCCTTCGCCAAGCGATCCGGCAAACCAGGTCTAAAAATCCACGCGTGTACCTCAAGTGCATAGGCGCGTAGCTTTGTAAATTTGTTCGCATACGTCAAGCCTTTTCTACACAGATTGCACCTACAGATTATTATGGGCAATCGCTGCAATCCGAAACGCGCGACCAAAATCGTGCGAGGTATGACCATCCCTGCAGGGCTAGGCATAGTTCTCGCGATGTCTCAACTAGCGATTTTCCCAGTGAGATAACTGTTACAGCTTTATTGCGGGCCGTTCATCTTGAATGTCAGTTGTACTAGTTGTCGCGCGCGACTAATCGTGGTCAACCATCACAATCGAAATGCAAGGTGATCGACATGCAATGGACTCATAACAGCTGTCCTGTTGAGAGAATCGCGAGGTGATGAAATCGGGGGAACTATGCCGGAGTCCTGAAGGGGAAACCAGCAAATCGTCCAGCGCGAGCTAAATCGCGCCGCGAGAGCCACTTCTATAAAATTGAACAGAAACATTTAGGGGGACTTGGGATGAATCTATGAATTGATTCTAGCCCGCAACTAGAGCAATTCTACACTTGAAATGTCTGATGCATAACTTGAGCAGTAAACACCTATATTTCGGAGGTCACCAACTCAGCTCAGTTTAGAGCTGAGCAAGTCTTTCAGGAATACCACACGAAGTCTTTAGCTCAATAACTGTTTGAAGCTACCACTTGCTAGGTCCGATGGTTTTTGGTGAAAACTTGATTGAGACGTTCACGAAAACGCTCAGTTACATTTTCAAGGTTTTTGACCTCCAGCACTCATGTTTTGAATCCGCTCCAGAATGATAAGATCAAACAACCATGGGACGACCATACATATCGTTAGAAGTTTTAACTGCTCCTGGAACATCATATAATACCAAAAGTGCGCTAATCTGTGCCCATTCGGCTTTGAAAATTGCGCCTCTTGACAGACACCCGGGAGGTTGGTTGTATTCTGGCTACGAATAATCGCTCCCCAACGGGGATAACCAATCGGAAGTTATATAAGGCTTACATCGTAGTACTCCACCTTCTCGAAATATGCACTGTACGTCGAAGTTACTTAGGAGTACGGTAATGGGCAGGTAGGAGTTTTCTGTGAAGATATGAAACTCTATAATATGGTTCAATTAGAAATAGCTAGCCGTAGCCAGGGCCCAGCAGGAGGTGGCATTTGAGAATTTTGAAAATGAAGTCCCCTTTGACATTGCAGAAGAATACGAAATACCTTTTGTGGTATTTGTAGAAGCACGGCTAATAATCTATAGCCGATGAGTTAACGAAAGTTAAAAATAGGTAAGAAAAATAGATAAAATAGCAACTCGTGAAAAAAAGGCGGTTTTTGAATAATTCAAAGGCCGTAGCAAAACAGAAAAGACAAAATTTGGGTCATGGTAAGTATTCCTAGGTAAAGTTTGAAGTGAAGAATAGACTTAAGTGAAAAATTTTGGAAAATTATGTGAAGAAGGAAGAAATTTATGACTTTGTTCGGTTCCGCGCAACCTCAGGGTGCGCGGAACCAAACAAAGTCACAAAGTTTCTAATTTAGGGTGCTACCAGGTTGCGCGGGAGCAACCTAAATTAGAAAAACAATTACAGCTCCTTTCGTTCACATAATTTTTTCATAATTTTTCATACTTTCCTTTTGACTCTCGCCGCGGAGGTACACACCAAATTTGGTGGCTCAATATTGCTTACCGGTTGTAAACGGACTGATTGTTTATATTTTTGTGCATAAAGATTGTGTTCTAACAAGTTGAAATCGTGTGCACACTGGTCTAAGCATCTGTCATGCTTGTAACGTGTTAATCTGCTTGTTACTGGTGAAACGGCGTAGGAGTTGAAATAAGGGCCTAAGTGCTTTTGTGCTTGCTAACATCGTAACAGATTTCCCGGAACCACCCGTGGGAACATTACGAGTTCCCTTTTGCTTTTCTTTGAAAAAAAAAAACGACATCCAGCCTGTGAATGCGCCACCTCTGCTGAGCCCTGGCAGTAGCCAAAGAGTGTCTTGTTTGATGTCCAAAAAAGTTAAGATTGTGTGGGTAATCTATTTATGAGTAATCTGTTAATACTGTTACTGAGCAGAAAGTCAGCACAGAGTGTCATGTTCTGCTTTTTCTCAGACCGTAGAGAACATAACTAATATTTAGCAATTTGATCCCTATGCCTGATTTTCGATCTCGAACCACAATGGAACATAGGCTGTGGAAAATTTTGCTGTATTTTTTTATTCTCTCAATCGTTTGTTATGATGCATACTGTGATGGTTGATCCGCATACGTAATACTTTCAGACACCAATAAATTATTTTCTTGCTATTTAGCGGCTTCAAAGGCAAATTCATACTTGCTCGAACCTTCGCTCTTGGACATCCTTGCAAATGCCCATCGGTAAACCAGGTATGTTCTTTCGTGAAGTTTTACCTCCTTCTCTTTCTTGTTCGACAGAGTACGGTACGATTTGAAAAAAATTTCACTGAATTGTTCACTAAATTTAGTACTCAGTTGGTAAGAACTGATAATGTAACCCTGCTCAAGCTTCGCAACGAATCCTACGAATAACATTCATGTGTGTCGCGAAGGTGGGTCTTTATCCATTGAAAAGTTGTTAGTGCCAGCAGTTGAACTACAAAAGCTTTTATCTATAAGAGAAGCACAGACTAAGTCGCACAGTAAAGTAAAAACGAGCACACACAAGACTTATCGCAAAATGGAAATAAGAGCTTGTTCCACATTGGTCTAGCCTTTAAAAACGTCGTGCACAAACTGGTCGTAGTCGAGACCACCTTGAATGGTGTGACTGGAACTTGCTTCCAGGTACGGCTTCATTCTTTCCACACAATATTTGGCTTGGTTCGTGGGAAGGTTCTACGATAAAAAGTTCTTGTCAAAAGAGGAACACTGAATGTAATACTCTTACCGCGTAAAGCTCTTCGGCGGTTACGTAAGGACGGAAATCTTTAGATAGTGCGCGGAATGCCGTCTCAATCTCTTCACGAGATTGGATGTTGTCGGTTTCCTTGCTGATCATAAACGCCATATAATCTTGTAAGGTTACGTAACCATCACGATTTGAATCGACTATATCCAGGATGCGGTCAAATTCTGGTTCCGGCTTGCCCTCATCCACCATGGGAAGATCATAGCCGAGCGCTCGAAGACAACTTTTGAAGCGCTGGTGGTCTAAACGCCCGCTGTTCTCCTAAAAAAGAACAGAAATTTTGGTTCGGCAAGCAAAAGACGAACGCGCCTACCTTGTCAAAATGTTTGAACATCATAGAGAACTCGCGCAAAACTTCTTCGCTTAATCCTGAGCGATTTTTTGCTTGTATTTGTTGTTCCAAACTGTGCTGCATTTTCATTACCAAACGATGAAGTTGTTCCCATGCGTGGGAGAGACCTACGGTCGAGTGTTCAGTGTACCTAAAAAACCACAATCATTCTAAGCAGCTGAAACATAAAAAAAGATTCATTAGGTAGCGTTCACAGTTGCCTTCGTGCCAGCGCCACTCCAGCGCCGTGTCGGAACCAACTTGGACCGCTATTGATCGACCAGCGCCCACCACGGCGCCATCATGACGCTGTTATGGCCCTGACACGGCGTTTTCACAGGCAACTCTGTAAGGAGCCCTAGGATTTGAAAGAAATAACTGACGCCCACCTGATGTCAAAAATTAGGTTCTTCTCCAGTAGTGCACCCTTTTCTTCAATCTGAAGCAGCTGAGCCTTGTTTGCTTTGATTTCGCCCCCTTTTCGCTTCAAGATTTCCAGCTGCTCCTCAAGAGTGCCGCCAGCTTCCAGCATCTCCTGATACAGGATTAGTTTCTCCTTCTCAACAGAAATTTGTTTTGCAAGATTGAAATGACTGAAATGTATAAAAACTCATTTAATCAAATATTCGCGAGGAGGTGATGAAAATTTGCGCGCGCATCATGTGATGGGGAGGGGGGGGGGGGAGGCGGACATTCAGTAAAAGCAATATCCCGTCAAATTGGGCGCTTACTTCGCATGAAAACAAATTGAAATTGTCTAAGCCACTGACCGAAGAGAGCCTCGTATTTTTCATTCATGGTTGAGATAAAATTTAGATAGTCGCCCGATACCGTATTCTTCTCGAGCGGACCCAACAGCAACGCAGAGTACGGTAGTGGGCGAGGGTTCAAAACCAATTATTTCACTTCGAATGCGTTATATGTGGTTCCTCGTAGACAATTCTGTAGCTAATTCTCAATCAAGATTCATATAAGAAGTCCACGAGGAATTTATTAAACTTTGTACCCCTAGCGGGCGATTACATTACCAACGAGCGCTCGTCGCCCGATCTGCTAATTGTGTAACTGTGTAACTGCTCCCGATCAAAACAAGGAGAATCATAAACTGGTTCCAGTTGTCCAGATTTTCCTGGACACTGCTTTTGACGGGCCTGTCAATTTGTCTTGCTTCGAACCTTACCACATACCTGACGAGTTCCTGCCAAGCAGCCATAGAACTTATCAGCTTGGTTGGCGAAATCCAGACGCCACGAGTCATTTTGCTCTTGACGCGCCTTCTCTTTCTGCAGTTCAACTTCGCGCTCCTAAAGAATACAAACTAGCGAGGTTCTGCAAAAAAGCAGGTTACGAAAAAAAACCTTGACGACTCTTTTGAGGTGATGCCACGATCCTTCGAGCGTATCTATAGTGAACCATGTGTATGGGTTAGAATCCCCACTGTGCAGTTTGATTTTTCTGTCCAAAGCTTTCAAGCTTCGCAGTTCCTCCTCAGCAGAGCTTAGCGAACGCTGCAAACGGTTAATAGGAAGTGCCCACAAAAATACATTGTTCGGAAGCCGTACCTGGAATTCAGCATGCGCTTGACGGAGTGCCTGTATTTCTTCCAGTGAACTGCATCTAACGGGATCCGTCAGATCCTCTTCGACGTTTTCAAACCATGAGTTGAAATTGGACGCTTTTTTAGCAAATGCCAGATACAATTCCTGAATGGCTAATATGGACACTGGCAAAAAAAGAAATGCAGTTTCACCATTCTCGGCCGCTGGGCAACCAGAGCAGTATGGGCTATCATAATTGCTAGTCATGGAGGGGGGGGGGGGGGGAGAGGATAATCCCGTAAATGGTTAGTATGTATGTTCTCATCTAACAACAAACTTGTTGCAAAAGTAAAAGGTGGGATGCCCGCAAATCGATATATCGATCGAAAGCTGCGCGCTTACGGTAGCGCAGTCGCAAGAATCTATGACAGGCAACTTGGTATAGTGTTACCTCAACAAGCTTAAACTTCTCCAACATCTGGTTTAGTTTTTGGCGGCGTTTGTCTAGCTGCGAAACAAGTTGATGCCACTGAGATATCACACCAGCATAGCGCTTCTGAATAGCCAAGGCGTCGTGATGATTACTGCCGACGAGCTGGTCTTTCAGTTCCATAATCCTAGTAAAATCCATTAATTTGTTTTCCTATAACAAGACTAATCTCCCACTTTTGTATTCCTTCAAGCTTAAAAGCGTTTAAGCTTGCATCAAGCGTCCCAATCTTCGTGAGGATAAGCTGCACGGATAATAGATCTCTACCACAGTCGTCGAATAAGACTTGCTTTTGCTTTTCAGCTAAACAGTACACTGCATAAGGGAATAAGGGGCAGCAGTTTACATCAACGCTTTTCTCTACAACAAAAATGAGGCAAGCGTTTTAACCTTCAGTATACATAGAGGTGGGAAGGAGATTTTAGTCTTACATTAGCACAACGAGACTTGCACAATTGCAACCTAAGGGAACGATCGGTATACGGTAGGAAGTCGAATGCACTTGCTGCATCTAAATACAGGGTGTCCCAAAAAAATGTATCGAACGTTTGATCTATAACAATATCCCTATATCGAAAGCCTTCGCGGATCTTTGAGTATTATATAGGTAGAGCTAGGTTCAACTTAGATTTACAGTTTAGAGCAAATCACCGATTTCCGATTTCAGTTGTTTAGAATTACGGTAGGAATTTTCGACTAAATTGAGCTTCTGACAGGCAGCTCTGCTTTCAAAAAATTCCAAAAAAAAACCGAAAGACGTTAAACTGAAGTTTTCGGGGATGCTGAATGTAATTACAAAGTTTTTCGCTATCGTACTCCTCATATTCCTATGGTAGGCGCACTGTAACGCTAAATTTTTAGCTTTTGACGACGTGTTTGTAACTTCAACGTTGATTTGATAAATTCTGGAAAAAAGCCAAAAAATTTAGCGTTACAGTGCGCCTACAAAAGGAAGCTGAGGAGTGTGGTAGCGAATTTTGTAATTAGATTCAGCATCCCCGAAAACCTCAGTTTAACGTGCTTCGATTTTTTTTTTGAAATTTTTTGAAAGCAGATTGCCTGTCAGAAGCTCAAAATTAGTCGAAAATTCCCACCGTAATTCCACAGTAACTCAAGAAATCGGTGATTCGCTCTATACTGTAAATCTAAGTTGAACCCAGCTCTACCATATAATACCCAAAGATGCGCGAAAGCTTCCGATATAGGGAAGTTATTAAAGTTCAAACGTTCGATACATTTTTTGGGAACACTGTATGATCTACAGGGTGTGGTGCGTCAAAAGTGTGGAAACGTTAACTGCGGTACCGTAGTTAACAAATCTGCTAATGATTCCAATTTCGTTATGTCACATGATGCTGCAATAATCCTCTACAAAAACCTTTTCGAGCTCAAAACCGCTTCCATATGCTTTTTAAAAAGTGGGTAAATCCAACCAAAACTTTTTTTTCTAGAGAAAGTCAAAATTTTTGGCATTTATCATTCATTCGTAGCTGGACATCCGAAAATAGTCTACAACAGCAGAGTCAAAATTATTAAGTTGTCCGCTTCCATATGCTTTTTTAAAAAGTGGGTAAATCCAACCAAAACTTTTTTCTCTAAAGAAAGTCAAAATTTTTGGCATTTATCATTCATTCGTAGCTGGAGATACCGAAAATAGTCTACAACAGCAAAGTCAAAGTTATTAAGTTGTCCCAAAAGTAAACTTCATTTTCAAATAAATGGAGCTGTTTTTGTTATCCTAACCGACTTAGGCCATTCGGTAGAGCGGAGCAAGCTCTACAAAAAAAAAATCTAAGAATCCACCTAAGTCGTAATCCAGGAGCCAAAAATCAAAATCTTTCAGCTACTCCAAAAACCAAATCTCCTTCCAAAAAATTCCTACGGACTTCAAAATTGGTCCTTATAAATAGACATATAGGAGCACAAAAAGTGTATTTGGTTAATTTTTTCCGGGGCTCAAAATAGAGGAGCAAAGATGGTCTGAAAATGCCAAAATGCCACTTCTTTCGAGGTTTTCATGTAAAACATGGTATTTCTCGGTCATAAAAACACATAAAAGGGCAAACTTTTGATAATGCTTAGAAAGGCTTGTAGCATACAATGACATGTGTGGGAGGAGCTTGGGGCGGAGTTTTCCGTTTTGGACTATCTTTTTTTCTCGCTCCTCATGCGCGTAAAAAAATCCAGTAAAGGCGTATTTGTGTACTACTATATGTCTACTGTAAAATGACCAAGTTGGAGGTCCGTAGGGTTTTTCCTCGCGAAAGTCCAATTTTTAAAGGACAAAATTTTTCGATTTTGGCTTCGAACTTTACATGGAGTGCGAGTTAAGCGGACCCTTGATGATCGTTTTGTAGAGGTTGATGTGCTCTATCGAATGATACCCAAAACCTTCTTGAAAAGCAAAAACAATTCAAATTATTTAAAAAATTTACTTCTGGCACAACCTAATATTCCCCTCGCCAAAAATCATGAAAGCATTTAAAATTCTTTGAAGGTGTGCCTAAGGCTTTTCACTATGAAGAATGCTATCGTTCCGATCCTCAAAGGTAATTAAGGACCGCATTGATAATTATTCACTGTAACCTAACCGATAGAGCAATTTAAAGCAATCTGCAGAGTTCTTCGGCAACAAAAATACCCCTTCTGCAAGGTAAGATGCAGCGGTAAGATAAAGGGTTTCTCGTTGCGGTTCAGAAAAGTCACCATTATTTGCAGACCAAAAGAGCTCATTTTTTGACTGGTCAATGTCATACTTACCGATCCAACTCTCGACAACATCACATTTCCACATGAACTGTAGAAAAGTAGAATTACTACTCAGTCTCTGAAGGCGCTGCTCTGCCATATTCTCGATGTCGCGCAGACGATTGGAAAGTTGATCACAGCGGTCCTTTACTTCCTTCCCATGATGGTTTCCGGAGTCAATGAGCTGAATATTTGAATAAAGGCTTGATTTATGACAGTGTTTATGTCTTGTTTACCTGTTGTCCCTCACAAATCAATTTATCAAAGTTCTCCTTGTGGTGTTGAAGCTCAACTTCGAAGTTGCTGTGTTTCTTTAGAAGTCCTTGGACACTAGCTATATCATTGCCATAATTATCAGATTCTAAAGAAAAATAAAAATTATTAACAATATAACAATATTATGTTTTTTAATCATATAAGGTTGATGCATAATTCTTGCACCAAATTTTTTGAAATTTCCCTCACTATCTCCAGTTTTAAATAAATTTCTGATTTAACAAAAATAGAGATGGGAAATCTTGCTTTTTTCGAAAGTGCATGAATCAAAATTTTTATGACATGTGACGATACAAGGTAAGATAAATACCCGAAATGTGAATTTTCGAATTCTTCTGAAGCCGCTCTCTACTGAAATCCAAACTTATTTTTGGTCTTGGGTCCCATGACCCACTCTTTTTGAAAAAAATTTGTCATTGAGCTATCGGATGTTTTTACGAATAGTTATGAATTTCGATTTTCATCATTTTGAGTTTACTGATTCTTTAATAGTTTTAGATTTTGCATTGAATACATAACAAAGTGCATACTGCTTGGACTCATTAGTTTGCTCAAGCATTTTTTAGACGATATTCTTCTATTCTTCAAGAAGAAATTTTGCATCAATCTAGTACAAAGAGGAATGTACCTAACACTTGTTTCTTCTCTTTCATCCAGGCTTCCTCTTCTTCAAGCTTACACATAAATTCGTGGAACTCCTCAGAGTCCAGCAGTTTCTGACGGCTGAAGGTGTAGCTCTATTTCTACTACATTTTTGTAAGAATATGTGAATCAAGACACACCGGCCACTAGCAAGATCACTAATCTCCTTCCAGCTGCGCTCCATCTCAGCCATTCTTTTCTTGATTTCCTCATCCACAGACTCTGAGTCTGACAACTCTTCGCCTTTCTGACGAAGCTGGTGCATCTGCAGTAATAAATCTTATTACTTCCTTAATAGAAATGGTTTAAAATGTACATGCGGCTCATGGCTAGCCAGCTCATTCTCAAGTCGGCGATGCCTACGCCGAAGGTTCTGCACACCCGGAAGATCACGACCGTAGTCATCGGACGAGACGAGAATCTTCTTCTCGCTAGAAAAAAGTTGTTATAACACCGAAGAGATGTGCTGCTTTGTATGCACTCACCTGATCCAAGACTCTTCTTCGCTTAGGTCACGGAAAAACTGGTAGATGTTTAAGCGCTTGTTCAGCTTAACTTGGCGATCCGCGGCCAAAGTCTTGATCTGCTCGTAGCGGTTGAGAATGATCTGCAAAAACTGCTAATATTCGCAAACAACTCCGAAATCTTTACACGGACCCTAAGACGCTCAGACACTTGTTTTCCAACAAGTTCTTCATTCTCCAATTGGTATGCGTGGTGTTTCAACTCTTCCAAGAGATTATGACGGTCGCTAATATCAGCTTGCAGAAGACTATGTTTCTTTATCAGGTTCTCGCTTGAAGTCAGATCCTGTATATGGTACATGCACCGACAAGGTAAAATCCGACCTTGGCAAAGAGGCGAGAGAGAGAGAAACTAGACTCGAAAGCTTCAGGAACTAGTTTCAACCGCGAGAAGAAGCGTCACTAACTTTTCCATAATCGTCAGATTGAAGATGCGTTTCTACTTCTTTGAGCCAGATCTCCAATTCTTTGATTGCCAACGTGAAGTTCTTCTGTTCGGCAACTTTCTTAAGCCTAAATTTAGTGTGTTTCATGTATCCAGTCTCAAACCTCAGTATTTAATACCTGCAGCTTTTTTCAGTGCTAGTCCTTATGAGCAACTGCCATTGTTCCTCCAATGCGTTCAAACGAGCGCACAAGGCATCTTCACCTCCAGCACAAGTCCCAGTATTAATGAGGTTCTTGCCTACCAAAACTAGTCTAGCGATACGGTCGGCATTAGCTGCCAGTTCGGCATCAAACAACTGCTGCTTCTGTAGCGTTTGCTGTATGTTCGTGGAGTCGCGGTAGTCCTGCTCTTGTGCTACCTGAATCGTATTGTCATGCATTTACGAAATTTTCCCCCCAAGGATATCCAACCTGAAGTTTTTCGGTTATCCAGTTTTCGATCTCATCAGCATCACAACTAAACTGCTCCAATGATTGATATTCTCTGAGTTTGCCTCTCTTTTCAGTGAGAGCGGACTTGAGATGTTCCCATCTGCAAATCTTCACGGTTGCTAAAGAATGAGACTGGCTTTCAGGCAGCGAAAGTGCTGCTTTTCAACAAATTTTCATGCCATAGTACGTAGAGATTCCATCTAAATTTAAGAGCCTGCGTTCAGAGTTAGAGCGCGTCGGCGCCGTTTGGCGCCGTTCTCATGCCAACGTCCCGTGTTGATCGATCGACGTCATTGGCACGGCGCTAGCACGGCGATAACTTAGAGAACTGAAAACGTAGCCCACTGCTGTCAATTCTGAAATATTCGACTTCCGAAGCGTAAAAAGTTCCAGAGGAAAGGCGCTCCATCATTTGCTCTACTCGTCCCGTCATATGCGCTTACATGGGCAGAAATGTCTGTTTCCCATACAAAACTCTCAGATGGTGCTTTTCTGAGAGCACCTACTTGCAAAAGTATCAAAAAGCATTTTTTATGAATATTGATGTTCACATTCGGATTGATAAGCTCAATTTTGCAAACACAGTTCAAAAGGCCGAGAAATCAAATTTCAAGAAATTTACTAAAGCTGATTTTTGCCGAGTGTCTTTCACCTTTCCAAGATCATGTGAAGTTTGCGAACGACCGCATCCTTTTCATAATGGTCGTTGTTGATCAACCGACTGGCAAACTGCTAAAAATATGAACCATGGCTAGCAAAATTTACACCACTTGTTGTACCTGCAGTTCAGCGATCTTCTCTTGCTGACTAATTACGGTTTTGTCGAAATCTTCGTGTTTTCTGACCAGAGACTCTACATTACCTCCCGTTGGATCCTCTTGGGCAAGAAAGTTTTCGCGTGCTGACATCCATACTTCAATCTAGAACTATTGAGTTTTCGATACGTTGAGAGCCTCTGGCTGCGTCTACAGTTGTCTGTGCCAACGCCGAGCTAGCGCCGTGCCAGCGCCCGAGCGATCAATACTGGCGCGTCCATATAGACGCTGGCACGATGCCGGCACAGCGGCAGCCCTAGACGCAGCCTGGTGAACCTGTATAGGATTCCATTCAAAAATCTTTCATTCTTAAGTCTTCGCCCTCAAACTGACCTGTTCACAGTCTCTGTAAAACAACTGCAATTCCAGGCATTGGTCGAGTACATTTCGTCTACCAATCCAAGCGTCCTCAAGTTCTTGTCGCGCGAAGTTTACCTGTAGGGCAAACGGAGCTGTTGAGAAATCGTTGAAAATGTTGGTGGAGCTTACATCGCTCAGGCGATTCGCGATATCTTCGCTAGCATGATGATTGTTGTTCAGCAGTTGGTCTCCAAACTGTTCAAAAGCTTGAAAAGTTGCTTTGTGGTAGTCAATTTCTGTGCGGTACTCTTGATGTCTCTCCAGAAGCGCTTCAGCTCCTACAAATAAAAATTTTGATTTTTTCTCCACTCATCTTTTTCCAGCTTGGTTGTCGCAAAAAAAGGCAAAAAAGAACGCATCTCAATTCTCGCAGAATAAAGGGAGAACGCTGATGGTATATACTAAAGTGTGACAGTCCCATTTCCGTGCGGGGGGGGGGGGAGAGGGAACAAAATTACTCCTTACGTAAAGATGCGTGGTGTTAGACAAGCGCTCCGAAATATTTTTTGGGATGCTTTCCCAAATTCTCCCAAAGTTCCATGACCCCGAAATTCTAGGAAGAATTTCCCGAACATTGTTCTGCAAGGCTATCATGAATTTTTGAAAGATTTTGAAAATTATCTCACTTATTTAAAAGTATAAGCAAGTCAATTGCACATTTTTGAAACTCATTTAAGTAACCTTCAAATTTCGTGACCCATTTTCGGAACTTTTCATCAAAATTTCCAGTATCCTAACGCCAAATGAGCAATAAAATACCAGTTACATCATCACCGAGCTCCTGGCTGCTCACAAGTCTCTTCATAGACGAGATCCATTGCATGAGGTCACGACTGTCAGTGAGGAACCTCTGGTAATCGTAAGATTCGAGAAGTTTTTCTTTGCGATTGTTAGCTTTCGCAGTAAGTCTATTCCATTGCTTATTGAGTTTGCATTGCAAATCGTAGACCTGTTCAGCTGCTTCTGGATGACTTTGACGAAGACGATTTGCCTAAACAAGAAAAAATTACTTTCTGGAAAGCTATCAAAAGAGTATGATTTACTTTCTCCTCAAGATCTTTGATGCTGTCCCCTAGAGCAGCCAGATCTCTTTCAATGCCTTCATGTTTCCTTCTCAAAGCTTGTACAGAGCGTAAGTCACGGCCAAAATCGTCCGAATCCAATGCAACATCTTTTTCGCGGATCCAATCCTTAGCCTCGTCGATGTCACGGTGGAAGCGCTGAACTTCATGGACGGAAGCAAGCTGCTGCTCCCGCTGTTCAGTTTGTTCTTCTATAGAGCGCCACCTGTCAAAGAGAGTTGAAATAGTGAAAACCAGGACAAAAGACCTTACCTAACATTTAGGTCATCAATTTGTTGACGAATACGCACGGCTGTTTCAGTCTGTTCAACAGAAGTTAGTGTAGTAGCTACAAAAGGCAGAATTTCACTGCATGATCCAATGGAGCGAAGGTAGTTAGAGTTTGAAGTTTTTTTTTTCAAAAAAAACCCTTTCTACTCACCAATCTGGTTCATCTCCTGTAGGCGAATTTCTTTCGCTTTCAACTCATCTTTGAAATCGTCGAAATTTTTCTGCATCATTTCCACTTGCTCAAGATCTGTTACAATCCCCTCCTGCGCAGCAACTGCTTCCTGTTTAGAATAAAATTGTGCAGTTGTTCAGGTTCTTTTTCAAAATCTTAACAGGCCACGATCACCATATTAGAGAAAATACAGAAGATATTATTAGGTAATACACATATTGAAATTCCTTTGGAAGAAGGATCGAGATAGGAAAAATTATTTTTTGTGAGGGACATGGCATTTCTTACATCAGAGTGAAAATTGTCATAAAGGCCTGATTTGATGTGGAAGATTAATTATAATAATTTGTCGAGGAATCTGCTTTCAACTTCAGCTAAAACAAGAAACTAGATGAATTACCTTACTCTTGATCCATTCTGCAAGATCTCTGGCTTCTCTGAGAAGTTGGTAGGCCTTGCAAGTATCTTCGAGTTTTCTGTATATTGTTTATTTTGTGATTAAGACGATAACCCGTACTACCTCTTGCGCATTTCTCCGAGCATCATCAAACGCCGGTATTTGTCTTCAATATCGTCCTGTTTACCACCAATGAAATTAACCTACAACATGAGATTAGATTTAGCAAAGCTTGCTTACGGACTGAAAAACTGAGGTAAGACTTGCTTGTTGTTGGCCACTATGACCAGTACCGGGCTCAATACGCCTTACATAAGCAGCTGGAACAAAACCCTGGCGATCATTTATCTCAACCTGCAAAAGCACTATATCACCTGCTGTCTTAGGTAGGAAGAAAGTAAATAGCAGACTAGAGTAACCTTCAGACAAATCCGGGACCCGGATACGTGGGTTTCTAAGGTCCGCATGCATTAACAACCGCGCTGGAGAGGGAACGCAGGTCAAAAGAAAACTTCATGTTTTAAAACTCTGGACGTCTGGATCTCTCGTTGTCCATCTCAAGCATTTCAAGTGTTCGGCAAGAATTTCTATTACTCTTTACTATAAACATATTGAGCAGGAACAAGAAGTCGTGTTAAGCCACTTCAGCTTTTTCTATGATCCCCTCGTGATTCTCGGTTGGACCGTCATTTCTTCGCCGTCATTTTTCTTGCTTTAAATTAATGAGAACATTCCAAATTCCAAAGTCGTACTAATTGTATAGCCCAACTGTGCTAAGCAGGTTTCCGATAAGGACGAATGATGCATTCGAAGTCGTGGAGCTTGCGATGAATCACAAGTCGATTGTGCGAGTTTATCGAAAATTTCCATATTTTGATGAGTCATTTATTTCTTTTATGAGGAAAAAAGAAAAATGACTTCGAAGGGAAGACGGTCGGCTGTCGCGGTCCGTCCAGGAATCATTTGAAAAGCGGCCTATACAACTTTTCCTCCTGTTCATCTATTTATAGTAGACGATAGTAGAAGCATCCGCGAGTAGTCACGCCGCGTAATTCAGAACACCCCTAAAGCTTCAAGATAAAAGCTTTTTTCAAGCTGCTACTGTCCAAGCGGCAGGTCATACAATTCACTCGTGGCAAGAGTTCCACCCTGAATTCGCACTCAACATTATTACTAAAACCGTACCCGACAAAAACTCTTAGCAAAATTTCTAACCACAAATGAGGCAACTCAAGCAGCGGCTTAGAGGATTGGAAGTTTTCACATAAGTAACCCCGGTAACCAATTTTACCTGATGCACTGTTTTGAGAAATGATTATTCTAAACTGATACCTTCCACCAATCATTGTTCGCAGCGTTTAGTAGAGTCAGCACATCTCCTTTTTTCATAGAAATCTCTCGTGGCGACTTTTCTTCGTAGTCGTACAAAGCCAGAACACATTGTTGAACTGAAATATTCTTTGAAGCTAGCAAGCGTATATTACCTAGCGCCAAACTATGTATTGGATCTCACCAAGCTTTTCAACAAGATATTCGTGGCCCTTGCATTGACTTGCTTGCTTTTTCAGGTTATGGATAGTCATTTTAAATGCATCAAGATCAAACATGAGAGCTTGGTGTTTTTTGAGAAGTGCCTCGGCTGAATCTTCGTCTTTTCCATAAACGGTGGAACCAACGACTGGCTCTTTCTCTGCCATCCAAGCCTCAGCCTCGTTTGCGTCAGCAAGGTACTGATGGGCTTGGAGAGAGTAATTCAGTTCTTCAGTGCGCTGCTCCGCCTTAGCCTTCAGATTTTTCCAGTTTTCGCGAAGTTCAGCAAGTTTGTCGCGGGCTTCAGTAGCAAGAAAATGACCCTGAGCAGAGGAAGATATGAATAAATGGCAGGCAGCTTAAGGAATTTACCTTTTGAATCATATTTTCCGCTGTCTTAGATACATTATCAGTTTGATATTCATGATCGGCTATTTCAGTAATCATCTCTTGGTGCTTCCCTATCAGTCTTTGGACTCCGGTAAGATCGCAGCCTCGATTACCCGCGCCAACCAGCTGTAGCAACCACTTTTTTAGCAACCGAAAAGCCGTGATTACTAGTACCTGTTCTTTCTCCCTGATCCATGAAAGTTCATCTTCAATATCGCTTAGTAGCTGATTTCCTTGTAGAGATTCGGCTAATTTATTTTTACGTTCTTCCAGGGGACCACGAAGACTCTAGATTGCTTAAATTGCTAGATTCCAAAAGAAGATAAGGGAGCTCTCAACCTCGTATCTCGCAAGCAGACCTTCTTGTTTAGAGAGGATGGCCGGAGTGTTGAAATGTTTGTCGTCGGCAAACTTTGTCGCCTAAAATGACATTTACAGCTTATTGTTAGAAGATGAGAAGGTACAAAGCTTTGATATCGCAATGACATGCTCTAACTAAGGTTTTTCAACTCTGGGCCCTGCCTATTAGGGTATCACATGATTTTTTTTCTAATCTTACAAACTAGTTTTTCTTTTTCTTTCTTATATCGAGCGCAGCTTGGGTCACCATACGTTCTACAAGATGTTCACCAAGCATCCGCCTGAATCGTATTCCACTTGAAATTTACAATCAAATTCTGATAGTACTCAGACGGAGCTCAGCTTAAATCAACGTATTCCCATTACAAAACTCCTAAAGATCTCCAATCCACCCAGACAAATACTTGATATATCAGACATTTTATCTTGCAATTCTCGCATTTTTTCCTTTCTTACAAATGAAAGAAAAATTAATTGGGGTAAATGGCAAATTCCGCCCTAATGGTTCTGGATTCCTCCCATACGGAATTATATAGATACTCTGTGCATTGAGAAGTAAGGCCATGTGATTTTACCTGTTGATTTCAATGTTGAAATCGGTAAAAAATTGTGGAATAGCATATAATTTTGGGGAAGGATGCTCCTTCTCGTAATTAAACACACTGGGAATCAAACAGGGACGCAAAGCACTCATTCTTAAAGAATGCACATGACCAACGCTGCCTGTTTCATATGGTTATCAAATGTCTCAAAACGCTTTTCAGTCAATGCGTCAATAATGTTGAGTGGAGGGCAGACGGTTGGTTCTGACTGTCCAGATTATTTCATGGTTTTACTCCTAGTTTGTCTCCTGAAATTTTTATTGAAAAGTTTCTCCAATTCTGCTCGTACCCGTCTTTGAAATACAAGTTAAAGCTTACCAACGCTTTGATGTCATCAAGACGATCCTGATGTGCCAGATAGTCGCTTTCCAGCAGTGCAACCTTCTTTTGCAGGTTTAGGACAGAAAACAGATCCTTCCCGTAATCCCTATGTGCGAGGTGGCCTTCGATCTCGCTAAGCCACAGCTCCACTTCTGCGACATTGCGATTGAATTGCTGCTCTTCACATGCTTCACGAAGTGTCACCGCTTTCTTATTGGTGGCGTCTACCAACTCATTCCACAGTTCATCTACATCTCGAAGGCGGCGTCGTACGTCATCAGCTCCGGGATGACAATTTTCGATCAACTGAGCCCCAACGCTGTTGATTTCGCTCAAACGATCGCGGTTTGTATTGAGTTCTTGCTCAAAGTTCTTGTGTTTCTGCAGTTTTCCACGAATGTTCGTTGGATCAAAGTACGATTCATCTTTAGCGATCTGCAGTTTTTCCTTGATCCAACAGACCAATTCATCGCAGTCACTATAACTCTATACTTTTTGTGCACTTAGGATAAAGAAGGAGCTCACCTACTGAATGTCAATTTCTTGTAGTTGTCTTGGAGTTTACGAGCACGATCAGCTGATCGCTCCATTAGTCGGCGACGTCTATTCAGAAGATCGTGACGTCTCCTGGATACATCATCAGCAGCATAATGCTTCCCCTGTAAAAATTAAGAAAACGTCGAAGAAATCCTCATTAGAGAACTTCAGTCTTGCCTGAATCAACTTTGTTGCAAAATCATCCAACGCTTTGATTTTTTCTTCCTGTACAACCAAAGACTTTTCGAAGCTTTCGTGCATTTTGATAAGTGAGTCGATGTCATCAAGAGAATCACCAAAATTTTCGTTAGCAAGGGAAGCCTCCTCAAACAAATTCAAAATGCCAGTCAAGCCTTAGGCCCCGGGCAGACTTCACGCGATTTGATCGTCGCGACTGAATCGCGACGAGACAACTGTTACAACATCATTCCATGCCGATCAACTTGCATTCGGTTGTGATACTTCTGCAGCCCGAAATTTTCCAATGTGAAATGAAAACGAATGGAAATCTTGGCGATTAGATCGCGACGATTGACTCGCTTGAAGTCTGTCCGGGGCCTTAGAAAGAGATTTGAGCGAGTCAAAAAGTGTGCGTTGCAAAGCAAACATGGAGATACACCATGTGCGGTACTTTCGTTATGGATCAACGCCGAGCTGCAAGGAATCTCACAAGGGAAGGATACTCGGTCGAAGTGGCCATTTGGAATGAGCTGTATATCAGGAAACCGTCCTCCGTAAGGCAAACTCAAAACTACTTGCGCTAGGTGCCGCGCTTTTGTGGGGGGATACAAGGCCATTTTCCTCCGGCGCAGCCAGCGCACCCAGTGATGAGCGAGACACTAGAACAACGCAGCAGTGTGGCAGTGGCGCAGTGGCAACGCAGTGGCTACGAAGCAGATGGTCGAGGGTTCGAGTCCTGTTGCTGCTATTTTGTTTTGCAGTTCTGTAAAAAGTCTATTGGGTGAGAGTAAACGAAAAATACTCATTTCTAGGCAGTTGAAACAAGCTATTTACTGCAAAAAAGTCACTATTTCTACAATAAGCTATGATCTTCTACAATATGTCAATCTGTGGACGTTAAGATGTCACAACAATGGATTCAAATGATATACTAACTTGTATGGAATGCAACCACAAAATGCTCAAAGCAGAAGAGCTTCTCGTAGCGCGCACATCGGATAAAATATAAACGATGACAATCAGCAGCTTCACAATTGCCTATCAAAATCGGTGAAAAACAGTACTGAATAGGAGACTCGAATTCGCCGGGGTGGTTATCAATGTATCTGGCTGCCCATGGGTATGAAAGGAAATTTGTGAATCGCGGCGAGCAAAACTGTGTGTAAATGAGCGATAGAATCTTAAGAATGGAATCCCTATGATGCAAGGTAAAGTTCAGATCGAGAGCCAATACATGGGATGTGAAGCGTTTGTACATTGCCTTGAAAGGCAAAACGAAATGTACATCTAATGGTTGAATCCTGGAGGTTGCACCCGGCGGAATGTTCATAATTTTTACAGACTTATTATCGGGCATAGGTATCTCTTTCAATACATCAAAACACATTTTAAAAACTATGTACAAGCTATAAAAAACAAAAAATATTCTTATAATTATTGGTCTATAGACAATATCGATATCAGTAACAAACTATCGAATATCAACATAAACAACATGCAAATATATTCAGCTGATTTTACTAATGTGTTTACAAGTCTACCACATAGCATAATAAAAACAAATCTTAAAGAACTTCTTTCACTATGCTTCAAAAATGGAAACAAAAAATACTTAACGTATAATGGTTTTAATAAAATATATTATACCGATACTATAAACACAAAATCAAAAAATAGATACTACACTATTTCTGATTTATTATATTACATAGATTATATCCTTGACAACAGTTTTTGTAGATTTAGTACGTACATCCTAAAACAAAGAGTTGGTGTACCACAGGGAGGTAATTTTAGCCCTTTAATGGCAGTCTCACGTTATCTTGGTATGAATATAAATACTTGATTCAGAAAACCAATTACAATTATCACCTTTATGTATTCCGATATATGGACGATTTATTAATCATACATAACAGCACAGAAACTGAAGTTCATAATACAATCATTAACGTATATGAAAACAAACTAGATTTAGATACTACACACGAGGATAAATTCAACTGTAATTATCTCGACTTAAACATTACAATTGTTAATAACAAGACAGTGACCAAAATGTATAATAAGACAGATAGTTTTCATTTTCAAGTAAAAAAATATATACACATGACTTCTTATGTTTCCATCCATATCAAAAAAGCTATAGTTTACACAGAAACTTTAAGAATTGCACGTACTTGCACCTATTTTAATGATTTTGTTGAGAAAGTGTTACAACTGAGAAACATACTTATCTCTAATGGTTACGATGAAAACATAATTCTTTCAAATATTTTAAAATGTCTACATAAAAATAAGTTCATACTATATAAATATAAATTTCACAATTACAATAAAACTAAAAATTTGTTTCACATTCTACATCAAAAAAATACATTAGGATCAAAGTAATATCTAATGCCTTGAACCAGTATTTGTCAAAATACATAAATATTTCATCTCACTTTATATTTCTAACCAATAATCGTTCGTTCTTATTACCATAAGTGACTATTACATAAGAAACATAACGAACAGCCGACTTGATTATTGATTCCATTAGAAATGAATCAATATTATGACAAAAAATTTACTTACAAAAACACACAAATATGTCTCACTTAATACTCAAAAGATTTCTATTCACGGCAGCTATTCAGACTATTATATTATTTATCTATACACAATATACGATAAGATCATCAATATGTAAGTTAAATTTGATCGTTTAAGTTTAACATTTAGCAAAAATTTTGATATATAATAGAACGGGTTCACGGGCTCTTCTTCCTTACTGAGGAGTTCCGAGGAGAGCCCGGAGTTCCTGTACTCCGTCTAAGGGCAGGAACGAAACGGAGTTAAAACTTACATACAAAATTTACATATAAAATGTTTTCTAGTTTATAAGTAACACACTTTGTGTATAACCATCTCTATTTTTATCACTATAGCTGATTGAATTGCATCATGGTCTTTAAATGATGTCCAAAAATCTACTATCAAAAGAGTCGCATTCGTGGTAGACGGAACTATGCAGGATCGTACCCGAAATGGCTTTGTCCACCTGTACGATAATAATCATTTTGCAAATATGTCATTTTTTGGGCACCAACCATTTTTTCTGAAACCTGCCTTTCTCCAAACAAAATTGAGCCTTGCCCTTTAGGTGGGACATTCTCATCGTTTTCTTCCGACCATGTTGGATCTGCTTCGTAATCTTCTACAACTTCATCTTCCTCGCAGTCAATTGCCAGATTATCGTACAACGCTTCCCGCAAAATGCGAGAGAAGTTGTCAATAATTCTTTGCTCCATCCGTGTCGGTTTTCGGGAGACGTCACACGGCCCGAATTCTTCCGAAAGGTACGAGACAACAAGTTGTGGCGAGAACATCGTAATGATTGGCAGCGGAGCTTTTTGCTATATGCGCATACTTGGCACTCGCCTTTACCTGTGTGGTCCTGCCTTGATAGGTAATGAAGCGCAGATTGCAATCGATTGCAAATTTGCAAGTGCGCGCGCTGCGAGAAGCTCTTCTGCTTTGAGCATTTTGTGGTTGTATTCCATACAAGTTAGTATATCATTTGAATCCATTGTTGTGACATCTTAACCTCCACAGATTGACATATTGTAGAAGATTATAGCTTCTTGTAGAAATAGTGTCTTTTTTGCAGTAAATAGCTTGTTTCGACTGCCTAGAAATAGTATTTCTCGTTTGCTGTCACCCAATAAACTTTTTACAGAACTGCAAACAAAATAGCAGCAACAGGACTCGAACCCTCGACCATCTGCTTCGTAGTCCGCTGCGTTGCCACTGCGCCACTGCCACACTGCTGCGTTATTCTAGCGCCTCGCCCATCACTGGGTGCGCTGACCGCGCCGGGGGAAAATGACCTTGTAACTCCCCCCACAAAACCGCTCGGCACCTAGCGAAAGTAGTTTTGAGTTTGCCTTACGGAGGACGGTTTCCTAATATACAGCTCATTCCAAATGGCCACTTCGACCGAGTATCTTTCCCTTGTCAGTTGCACTGTCGGGTGCATCACAAGCAGCCCGGCCTCGCGCGACCGCCTCGCCTGAACCCTAGCCGCCTTCTTGAACGTGTCTTTTAAACATTTTTCCATTTCTGAGCGTTGGAAAGGGCTTGAAGTTGAGCTTCGCTATTTAAGCGTGGAAAAATGGTAAGAGAATACGTTAGAAAACGCGGTGCAGGCCTGAGCGAGGCGGCCGCGCATGACTAAAGGTACTGGTGCACCTGACACTGCGACTGAAATCGCCTGGATATGCTATCTCAATGAGAATAGCTTATCTCATAATACCTGTCTTTCCATCCATATCTCAGCTTGTTCTGTGTCACGATAAAACAGCTGAAGATCCAAGCATTGTTGGTAAAGATTTTGGCGTTTCTCCCACAGAGCACGAAGAGCCACCTTTTCACTTTCGAGCTGTTCCAGTTTTTGACGAATCTAAAGTAGAAGTTGCCAACGGACCTATATGTCGTATCGCATCCCACCTCATCATTTCTTGGGGTACCTAAAGATAGAAGAGCTTGCCCACAAAGGACGATTTGTTTGAAACTATCCTCCATAACTTCTATCTCTCTCTTGTATTCTTGCAGTCTATCTAGAAGTGCTTCGGCACCCGTAACATCTTCAGCCAGCTCATCAGCGGAAATCATAGTTTTCATGTCATTAACCCAGGAGCAAAGGTTCTCATAGTCAACGAGGAAACGATGCAGCTGTAAGCTACGGTCCAATCCATCCTTTCTAATGCGAGCCTTCTTGATCAAAGCTTCCCAATGTTCTTTAGCTTCACCGATTTTAGCACCAATTGCTTGCGTTCGGTCGGGATGAGCTGCAGACAGATGTGTGGATTCCTACAAAAGTTTACTTGTTATTCTAGAATTAACTACACTTATCAGCAAAAATTCGGAAAGATTTTTGCCGAGTTTGGCGAGACGTGTATTTGTGTGGAACCAAAAATTGATTTGCACTGGCTGGGTTAGCTTGTTCTGCTTAATTTTTATTTTATGGTCATAATTGTGAGAAGATACCTTGTCTAGCTGATACAACTTGCCCTCCAAAATAGTCAGGTCCCGCTCAATCCCCTTATGCTTTCCTTGCAGAGCTAGCACGCTGGTTAGATCGCGGCCATAGTCATCACTTGAAAGAGCTGTAACCTACAAGGGCGAAAAATTAGTGTTTTCCTGTGCTAAATTCCTCAAATTGATATTATGCACGTTTACTTTAGCAGATCTTCGGAGTTCCCACCTTCTCTGCGATCAATGCCATTGTATCATCCACATCTTTGCTAAAATTCTGTAGAAGTTGCGCACCAAAGAGAAATTCTTTCTTCGTCGCGACGAGAGTATTGAGGCGATGCCAAGTCTCGTTTACTTCATCACGTTTCTAAATTTTTGTCTTCAAAAAATGCTCACAAAATCCTATAGACCTTGTAAATCCGTTCGTGCTCCGTATGACCAGCTCCGACCAACTTGTCAGCTTCTTCATTGATCTCGTTTATGAGGTAAAAATGATTTTGTAAGTTCTTTGAAAATCTTTCGAATCTGCGCTGAAGCTCTTGGATTTGTTCCGAATTCATGCTATCCATATCCATATCTGTGGCGTTTACCCAAGCCTCCTGCAAAAAGGCAATGGATGGAAGAAAATGAGCGATGAAAAGCCACTTGCTTGGTCATTGGTCCAGTGAGCTATTTCGTCACATTCCCGAATAAACTCGAACAGTTCTAATGCTTGTTGTAGCTTAATACTCCTGTCCTCGAGTTTTGTGCGAAGCTTGTCCCAAAGCGCGTGAAGCTCTTTGAGACGATTCTGGAATAGGCTTAAAAGAGTCGCTTCTATAAATAGTGAGTTCCTTTGCACTTTGATCACTTCGCTGGCAAAATGCCCAAGCTCAATCATCCCATTTCCTGTCTTGTCCAAGTCGTCGATGAGTTTAGCGTGAGCACGAACTTCTGCCTTGAGCGTATCATGCTTCTTAAGTTTGGCCTAAAAAGAATACTTTCGGCACCTTATAGAGAAAACCTGACCGCGTTTACAAGCACTTGCTAATGAGTTTGAACTTCCAGATTTTTAAGGAGGTTAATGTCTATCTACGTTTACTCGACGGATTTTCCTCATAGAGGGATACTAGCGGGTCAGTTGCGAGGCTACGTGGGCATCCTCATGTGGCGGATAGGGGGTTATCGGCAAAAGTCCCCTAGTCCCCTCTGACAAGCGAAGTGGGGACGGACTCTCTGCTTCCACCGGGAGCTTGCATTCCTATCTCCTGGGTAGGTGTGGAAGGGGAAAGTTCGCAGTTGTCTCTAACAAATAAGCTTCGACCGTCCTTAGCGGGAGGTTTTTGAGCCCAAAAATCTATGCTATTTTCTTCGAATAAGTCAATCGTCCACGGATCTCCCTCATAGAGGGATCACAGCCGGTTAGTCGCGAGGCTACGTGGGGCTTCCCCAGGTGGCGGATAGGGGGATAATCGCCGACCAAAAGCGACCCCGCGCCTGCTCTGATAAGCAAGCGGAGCCGGGGGACGGACTCCCTGCCTCCACTAAAAGCTTGCGCCCTAATTTCCCGGGTAGGTGTGTGGGGAGGCGAGTTCGGAGTCGCCTCCAACAAATAAGCTCCGATCGTCCCTCGCGGGGGTTTTGAGCCCAACAAGCTATCCCTGCGAGTAAATTCTTGTTCGACACAGTGATAATATGGAAAGCTCCTTTAATCTTGGAAGAGCCACTGGTAAGGCAGCGCCAGTGGGGACAAGGTTTGAAAGGCGATCTAAGCTGCCGAAAACGAGACGGACTATGATGACGATCTGTACTTACAACGCGAGGACGCTGGCATCGGACGCATCTATCGAAGATCTCATGATGCAAGCAAGGAAGATTAAGTACGGCGTCATCGGACTGACCGAGACAAGGAGGCACCAGGCTGAACGCCACATTTGAGACTAGAGAAGAACTGTTTCTAGGAACATGCGACAGTCGAGGAGTAGGTGGAGTGGGAGTCCTTGTCAACACGAGTCCGGCCATGAACATCGACTCGTTCGAACAACTTACAACCCGAATCGGACGCTTGCGAATATCAAGATGTGGATCAATCCCTGCCTTGACCGTCTTCATTGCGTACGCCCCAACATCCAGCTACGACGAGGACGAACTCGAGGAATTTTATATGGACTTGGAGAAGTTCTACAGAGAAGATCATACCTTCTACAAGATCATCGTTGGTGATTTCAACGCGAAGATCGGAACTAGAAGGTCGACTAAGGAACTTCACATCGGAATCCATGGTTTGCAGTGGAACGAACAAGGGGAGAGACTGTCCGAGTTTATCATGACGACGAGGACTATCCATGGAAACTCACAGTTCCAAAAGCCCTCTTCCCTACGCTGGACCTGGGAATCGCCCGGTGGAGAGTACCATAACGAGATTGACCACATCATCGTCAACAGAAGGTACTGCCTGACGGACGTCGCTGTTGTTCCGAAGTTCTACACGGGATCAGACCATCGTCTCCTGCGCGCCAAATTCTACTTTCCGCGGAATGGAGAGAGAGCCGTCAAGTTCAGGAAACATCGTCCCATGAATACCACCAACTGGGATCTGTTTTCTTCGATATCCGGCTCATGGCGAGATACCGTGATGGACAACATCGACGAAGAATACGAACGGTTCGTACAACATCTCCACGGTTGTGCCAAGGAAGCTCAGAGTCTAAGAAGTACGAGAAGGCGTCTCACCACGGGGACTTTGGAGCTGATACGCCAACGTGGACGCGCACGAGCCACAGGCAACTACCGACTGACGTCCGAGCTTGCGAAGCGATGCAGAGAAGCGATAAAAGAAGACCTTAAGGAGAGAAGAGTAGCAGTGATGGTTGACGCCGCGGAGGCTGGAAGAAGTATACGCAACGCCCGCCAAAGCTTTGTCAACTTCAAGACAAAGATGACCGCACTTCGTCGTCCTGACGGAACCATAACTGCTTCCCGAAGATCAATGGAGAAGGTCATCCACGACTTCTACTCGGATCTTTTTGCGAGCCACGTCCACCTCCCACCATGCCATCTCAAGGAGGACGAGTGTGTCGCACCGTCTGTTCTTCCTTCCGAGATTCGTCATGCTATCATGTCGATGAAAAACCGTACAGCACCCGGTCCCGACAGGATTAAGCCAGAACATCTGAAGAATCTTTCGCCAGTTCTCATCAAGACTTTGGCAAGGCTCTTCACGCGGTACCTGACGGAAGGCAAGGTTCCAAGGCAATGGAAGACCAGCAAAACCGTGTTGCTGTACAAGAAGGGAGATCCCTGCGACATCGGCAATTATCGCCCTATCTGCTTGTTGTCTGTAGTCTACAAACTCTTTACGCGAGTCATTCTCAACAGGATCGGAAGAGAGTTGGACGAAGGACAACCATGCGAGCAAGCTAGGTTTCGAAGAGGATTCAGCACAATCGACCACATACACACGGTGTCAAGGCTCATTGAAGTGTCACGAGAGTATAAGATGCCGCTCTGTCTCACCTTCATCGACTTGAAGAAGGCCTTTGACTCGGTTGAGACTAAAGCCGTCATCGATGCCTTGAGCAATCAAGGTATTCCGACTCATTACATCAAGATAATTCGTGAGCTGTATAACGACTTCACAACCACCATAACACCATTCTACAAGGACATCATCATTGACGTGAAGAGGGGCGTGCGACAAGGCGATACTATATCGCCGAAACTATTCAGTGCCGCTCTGGAGAACGTCATGCGTAAGTTGGAATGGGACAACATGGGAGTGAAAGTCGACGGCCGGCAGCTACACCACCTTCGCTTTGCTGATGACATCGTATTGATAACACCAAGCGTCACGCAGGCGGAACAAATGCTGGCCCAGTTTGACGAAGTGTGTGGAAAGATCGGTCTACGGCTGAATCTAACGAAGACGATGTTCATGAGGAACGGAAGAGTGCCTGATGCTCCTTTCATGCTCAACGGGACGAACATCACCGAATGCTCAAGCTACACCTACCTAGGTCGTGAACTCAATATGATGAACGATCTAGCTCCGGAACTGAGCAGGAGGAAACGTGCAGCATGGGGAGCATATAAGACAATTGAGGACGTAGTGAAGAAGACCAAGAACATCCGGCTCCGCGCCCACCTTTTCAACTCGACGGTTCTTCCTGCTTTGACGTACGCTTCAGAAACATGGACAATGAGAAAGCAGGATGAACACGCGGTTAGCGTCATCGAACGAGCTGTTGAGAGAGTGATGCTAGGAGTGAATCGACTCACGCAAGTGAGGCAAGGATTACGAAGTTCTACCCTACGTCAACGATCGAAGATCAGGGACGCTGCCGCGTACGCCAAGCAGAACAAGATAAGATGGGCCGGGCACGTAATGCGTTTCGACGACAACCGGTGGACGAGAGCTGTAACAGATTGGATACCACTGGACGTCAAACGCGAACGAGGAAGACCGCCGACGCGATGGTCAGATATGTTCACGAAGTCCTTTAATGAAGTCCTTCAGAGCGTTCCACGTGTTCCTGGTGCGATACGTAAACATTGGTCAACAATCGCCCGAGACAGGGACGAATGGAGGCATCACTGGTACCCGCTCGTGCAACACGATGATCAACGGGGATACAGGTGATACAGGTGAAGTCAATCGTTAACACAGTAGTATGGAAAGCTCTCGGACGACCAAGTACGCCAGCGAATGACGGAGACAAACAGAACAGACAGCGCCCGCCCGCTGAGTGCCACTTTCGGAACCGGAAAAATGTGTTCCCAAAAACAAGCGACAGTAGAGGAGTTGGCGGTGTCGGAGTCCTTGTCATTGTTCACGAACATCGATTCCTTCAAACATTTGAAACTTTAACTGTTTACGAATTCAAGGATATGGACATTTGCAAAATCGACCGTTCCCATTGTGTATGCTCCCATATTAAGCTAAAATGAGGACGAGCTTGGAGCCTTCTTTATGAACTTTGAGAACTTCTACAGAGAAGACCACAACTTCTACAATCAGTGTCGGTGAGTTTGAGTTCAACGTGCAAAAGGGAGCCAGCAGTTTGCCTGCAGAACTTCAAATCGAGATGCATGTATTACAGTGGAACGAACGAGGGGAAAGATTGTCGGGGTTTAAATCACAATGTCCACCCATAAAAACTAGCAGTTTATCGGCTTTCTCGAAGCTGGATCTGGGTTCTTCGGTGAAACGTATCAAACTGATTGTCCACATCATCGTCAACGGAAGGTGATGCCCGACGCGCAGTTGTTCCGAATTTTTTCACGGGGTGAAAGCATCTTCTCTTAAGTCCCGAGTTCTGCTTCCCATGGAATGTACAAAGAGCCTCCAAATTCAGGAAAACGTGTCCCACGATATCTTATGGCGACATACCATAATCAACAAATAAAATTCTTTCCAGTTCTTCTAGCATCTTCAAGATAATTCTAAGGATGCTTAGAGTTAAGAAGTACGAAAAGGCGTTTTCTCCAAGGACTCTGAAGCTGATGTCCAACGTGGACGAAACGAGACTCAGGTAACCACCGACTGACGCTCGACCTTGCAAAGCGATGCAGGCAAGCGATAAAAGGAGATGTCAAGAGAAAAGGTGAGAAGCGGTGACTGACGCCGCAGAGACTGGAAGGAACGCCCGCCGAAGCTTTGTTAACTTCAAAACCAAGATGACCACACTTTGCCGCTTTGAAAAAACCGTACGGCTTCCCGATAGTCAATGGAAAAGAATCATCCACGACTTCTACTCGTTCAGCAGCCACGTGCACCTTCAGTCATCTCTGAGAGAACGATTGTGTCGCACCTCTGTTCTTCCTTCATAGATTCGTCTTGCTATTATGACTAAGAAGAATTGTACGACAGTCAACCACATCTGAATAATCTTTCGCGAGACCTCATCAAGAATTTGGCAAAGCTCTTCACGATATCTGACGGTGGACAAGGTTCCAAGTCGATGGAAGTCAGCAAGCTGTGTTGCTGTAAAAGAAGAGACATCTTCGCGACGTCGGTAACTATCGCCCCCTCTTTTTTTGTCCGTAGTCTACAAACTCTTTACGCGAGTCTCTTTCAGCAAGATCGAAAGGGAGTTAGATGAAGGACAATCATGCGAAGGAAGCTGGGTTTGAAGAGGATTTGTTGCGTTAGATTTGGTAACACACACATTTACACGGTGTCAAGGCTTATCGAATTATCGCGAAAGTCCAGGATGCCGCTTTGTTCCACCTTTATCGACTTAAAGAAGGCTTTTGAATCGGTTGAGACTGAAGCCGTTATCGATGCCTTGAGTAATCAAGGTATGCCTATCAATTACATCAATAATTCGTGGGCTATACAGCGATTTCACAGCTAGCATCACATCATACTATAAGGACATCATAATTGACGGAATTTGTGTACGACAATGCCGATACCGCCCTCGAGAAGTCATGTGAACATTAGAAGGGGACGAAATGAGAGTGGAAGTCAACGCTCGGCAACTACGGAACCAGCGCTGGCTCAGTCTGATGAAGTGTCTGGGAAGACTGCTCTACAGCTGACTTTCCGGAGACAATGTTCATGAGAGGGAGAATGCCTGATGCTACTCCCTTCTTTCAACGAACGAACATGACCACTTCGCTATACCTACTTAGTTAGACCTGAATATCAATATGATATGTTGAATGATCTGGCTCCGGCAAGCAGGAGGAAACGTGAACGTGGAAATTATATGTGATTGTTGAGGAAGCAGTGAAGAAAACCACAAACGCCCGGCTTCGCGCCCACCTCTTTGACTCGACGGTTTCCTGCTTTGACGCACATTTGAGAAACAGACAATGAGAAAGCAGGAAACACGCAGTTAGTGTTGTTCGTGCTGCTGAGAGAGTGATGTTAGGAGTTAACCGACTCACGCAAATGAGGGAAGGAACACGGAGACTTACCTTACGTCAACTATCGAAGATCAGGGACGGACGCTGACGCCTACGCCTATCATAATAAGATAAGATGGAACAAACACCCAGTGCGTCTTAACTCGGTGAACGAGAGTTGTAATGTACTGAATAGTACTAGACGTCAAACGATGTTCATCAGACTTGAAATTCAGCCTTGATACACCCGTATTTCGATCAAAGCAGGAGTGGCAAGCCGACAGACGTTTGAACAATCTAGGCAAGTCATCTCATAGTTAAAGTTGGATGAATTAAGTACACCGACTCCGAAAGAGCGCTCGAACACTAGCTCGGACGACGCCTGTGAAGACCCAATACATTATCCATGCTCTTCTAGCATGAAGACAGTGGGAATTGCTTACCACACGATGATTGAATTAGAAAAGGGGATCTTGAGAAGTGGATCACATTGCAATCATGGAACTGCAATGTTGCAATTTATGAGTATATCATTCATGATTTGTTGTTAAGCTAATCCTTTCTACTAACAACTTCACTTCTGCGCATGGTCTTAGACGCAAACTGTCTGGTATTCTAGTACACCCCTCCTTTATCTTCATCTGCGCATTTGTTAGCTATTAAGTTGTGATAGCTCATGAGTGTATATCATAAGAAAATGTAAGTTTCAAAAAATGACTTCAACTAGTTAAAACTTTGTATGCATTTTTTGTATGGAAAAGAAATTGAAGGTACATAAAGCTCTGAGCGTAAGGATAATGAATACACTGTTTCTGGCATACCATTTTGCTATCGATGAAAGTGCATTCTTCAAAATTTCTTGTAGGTAATTTTACAACCAAAAATTAGTAGTCAAACTTGAAAATAAAAGCTTTCTGGAGAAGCAAAATAAAATCATGATCAGGTTGCTAGTGAAGTCCAATTCGTCCTCCTTTTAAACGGAGTAAAAAAATCTGCGATCCTTCTCAATACTCAGTGAAAGGAAGGCCTGCAAATCTTTCAGTCACAATGATGGGGGTAATAGTATGGAAGGTCGTTGTGGTTGAGCTAAGCGAATTCTGGATAACAAACTTTATTTCTTTTAAGCTTTTGTAAACATAAACGACAAGTAGTAAACTGTATGATGAAAGTATGCTCTGAATCTTGAAAGTCCGAACTTTTACCTGAAGATTTGCAGTACTTTCATACGATCCCTCTTGAGTCCACTGCAATTTCTCAAGAATCCAAATCTCCAACTCGTACGCATCTCTAAATTAAGAACATAGAAAACTTACGGCACCAGCAGTAGACAATATGCAAAGTAACCGCCGCTTAGTGCGTTGAGACATTCTTTTATCGTTAGAAAAAAGGGAATTATTCAAAAAGTTCTACAAAGGAAGGCATGACTTAGGGGCACGAGATTTTTCTTTGGATGTACAAATCTATATAACTACAACTCAACCGGTGTTATGTATGTTTCTAATAAGAACCTCCTTTTTGAACCTATCCAGATCAAACTTTGCAAATCCTACATTTTGTAATGGAATGGGAATCAAGGCTACCTTTCGTCATTGATCAAAATCGATTTTATCGAACAAACACGGAGTTACGAGTTTAAAAATTGGCACAGGAGTAAATGAGCATGGTGATTATGAATAAATACAAAACTTTCAGATTATCGAAAGAACTGATTTTATCGATTTCTTGCAAACTTTGAGCTCGGGGCTGGCAGTTGGCACAACGGCTACCCTCTTTCACTGTGAGGCTCCCGCCAGAGTGCCGAAGTTATGCCAGCGCTACGCCAGTATTTCGATCGATACACGTGTATTTCGTTGGGGACATCTACTTGCTGAGCTAGCCCCGCCCCAACGAAATACACGTGTATCGATCGAAATGTTGGCGTAGCGCTGGCATAACTTCGGCACTCTGGCGGGAGCCTGAGTGACTGGCGGAGGGCAAAGTCTTGTTCGCTAATCAAGCCTGACGAGATAATCAAGGAGCGGGCTCGCGAGGGAGATTCAAAACACAAAAATCGAATTTTGTGGGGCTGCGCGTAAGACAGCTGACTTGCCTATTCTTATTTTTTTCCAATATGACGTAAGCTCGGAAACAGCTCTTGACGCAGCAGAACTTTGTCCGAATCCTTTCCCTTCTGGGGGAAATATGGCTTTCGGAAGAAAGCACATAAACCGAAACACCGTCAAATTGCTTTGGTACCGTGTCATGGGGATCGACAAAATTGGATGTACAGACGTTGGTGATTTGAAAGCTCTCTTCACGAGTTTGGAGGTGAAGCGATAGGTTCGTCAGCCAAGTGTGCGGTAAAAGCTCGTTCTTGAAGGCCCAGTTTTACGTTTAACCCTGATTGACAATCTACCACAGCTGGTTTTAAATCACTTGGGAATGGTCAACACAAATAACTTACCGTTTGAAATACTGATATCGCCGAGCCTCTTCGAGACGCCCTTTTTTGATTTTGGCACGTTCTTGGAACTGCGTGTAGTGTCCAAGTACCTCTTGACGGCAACGCTGAAACTACTTTTTTGAGCTCATCAGCGCAACTATATCTAGACGATGGTTTTTGGCAACATTAAAATTTCACAATGAAGATTTGGCGGGGCAGTTGTCTACTTGTTGCACACCAACTGAGACCACAACAAACTTAGGTCGTTTTTGTTAATAATTCCAGCACATATTTACTGTCCAAATATGTCTTCCAACATACATATGTTCATGAACGTTAACGAATGCTAGCTGGACCATATATGGCCATATATGGTGCACAGTCTGGAGGAGCGATTAAACCAGATAGCGGGGTACGGCGTCATTTAAGAAAATTTCGAATTTGAATATGGGAGTAGACCTACTTTGGCGTTGAAATCACAGCTTTTAAAATCACAGCTTTTAAAATTCATATCATCAGGGTTGTTCTTGCTGGTGCCACATTGTTTCGCTGCTTGATAAGTGTTCTATTCGGTGAAGCAACTACATTACATCAAAAGTGCGCAAATTTTATTATTAGTGGATCACAGGGACACAGTTTGCTGTATTGATATTTGCAATCTGTCCCAGTCGGAATTAGACCGAACCGCTGGCGTACATCTGCGCGCTTGCACTAGAGATTTGCGCTGCATAAGCACGCTGCCAGAGGCGAGACATGCAGGCCGTAGGCGTGACGCAGACTCTAGCAGACTCCCGCCGAGCCAATTTTGGTTTGATTGGGATTGGACAGATTGCTTTATGCTTCAGCTGCGTTCAGCGTTGCCCATGTGTTCTTCTTGTGTCTGGCACAGGATCGGGTGGGGCAGTGTGGTGAAGCAACACCATATGCGACATCCGATAAGAACTCGACGTCTTTGCCGTTCCTTGGCGAGCACAGCACGGTGTGCCACGAGCGACTCTATACACAATGTTGAAGTCAGATGCATAGGTATCCTCGCCAAAAAAGGAGCCTCATATCAGGAGTTAACATCAAAGTCTTAGATCTAGGTCCCCCGAAATGCTGAGCGTGCGACTGTTGAATGGGGAAGGGGGGGGGGGGTAACGAAGGCTCCTAGGTGCCTTTGATGGCCCTCCTCCCACCTGTGTGTTACTGGCGATCATGTTTTGAAAAATGTTTGAGAAAAGGGTAGACTTCTGAAACAATCCATTACTTATGGTGAATTGTTCAGAATTGTTCCCATATGAACCATCAAGTGACTGTCTTCTGGTCATTCTGACATGTCAGCTTCGAATAAGGGCCTTTAATTCTCTGGAGTTAATGTGTTGAAACGATCGAAAGGCAGCCACAGCCACGTTGATGGTTCATATGGGAACAAGTCTGTGGGATGCATGATAACTAGAGTGACAGCCATATCAATTCAAAAAATTTCGATGGAAACCTAACCAAACTTACAACATACGACTCGATGCATCAAGTGCGTGTGAAAGGAGGGAGGACAAAGAGACAGTAGCCCGGCCTGATCGACAAGAAAACAAGTGGTTTGTTCAAGTAAAAAGGCATGGTATGTGAATGCAGTAGACATGATGTGTGGGAAATACATCTCTGAACAGCTCTCCTTTCGATGCTTTGAGGTTGTTACATAAGTCTTGTTACATTTAACTTCTTGCGACAATAAGTCCTGCACCTCATATTCTTTAGGGCTGCAGGGTATTATTCGATAGAGCAAAGCAAGCCCTACAAGATAGTGTGCAAAACTTCGCACCAACTTCGATCCTCCATAAGTTTGCATCCAAAATCTGAGTCGTACTGAAGGCTCAAAAATCGCGAAAAATTCGCATCTTTGTTCAAAAAAATCACACTAATCTCCAACTTGCTCATAAAAATTGCACACTATATCAGACACCATATTTGCTGTATTTTTCCTCATCTAAAAATTGAGAAATCGAAAATTTTCTTGTTTTTACAGAAACGAAGCTATGCTGTTTCTGTTCATGTAGTTGTCAGCGAGCTTTCAGAAAAGAGTCAAAATCTGCGACCTATGCTTTTTGAGATAGCCAAGTTTTATAATTTTTCTAAAATTTTATCAAAACCTCAGAAGGAGTCCAAGTAATGGATGGATGGAGCAAACCCTACAGGAAACAGCACAACTTTTTTCTACTTTCCAGAGCTTTTCATAATTTTTGTACAGATTTTTTGATGGAACCTCCGAATTTTAGCAGGCTCGTCTCAGACACAAGTGCATCAAACGCCAACAAGTCTCCGGATTTTGAAACTTACAAAGATGGATTATGGTTTGGCAACAACTTTTAACCAAGCGAGCATTCACCGCTTCGGTTTAGCCACTTTCGAAAATTTCGGGTACACCTTGGGGTGCCTTGGAAAAGTTGAGTTAGATGATTATCCCGAAAAACTTTATGAATCGAAAACAAAAAACGACCGCTAGAAAGAGGAGAAAAAGCTGCATCGAATGGCACCCGTGTCGCTTGCCGGTTATTGTTCTGTGAGGTTTGACTTGACTAAATATGGAATTTGATGGCATTGAGAAACTGATTGTAGAAACTCTGAGAACCAAGCTAAGGAAAAGAAAAAATTGCTCTGTGTTCTATAGTGTTTGCTCTATCTACCTGCCCCTTGCACCTTTTCGGAGATTAGGTACAAAAATTTAGAAAAGTAGCCGAACTTGACCAAGGCAAAGAGCATGATTCGCAGATTTTGGTGATTTTTCGAGAGCTCATTGAACATTATGTAGTGAAATTAGAACCATTAGAAAGAGGATGAAATGCTGCATCGAATGCTCTTAGGTCCCTCGAAAATATTGATTCCATGAATGTAGCGTTCATTTGAAAAAAGCGACATTACTTTACACCTAATACATTTGCTATAATTCAACTCAATCTAATTTCTTTAAAATTCCACCCAGTTGTCCTTTTCTAATTATCAGAGAAACTCGAATTATTAGGTTGTAAAGAAAGTTTTGGGCACTTTCAGAAACTTCATTTTTATTAGGGTGTCTAACAATTTTTTACCGTTTTTACTACAACCGCCGTCTTTTTGTATCTTTCCTTCATCTGATGTGGCTTATGTAGTTATTCGACAGGGCAAAGCAAGCTCTACAAGTTGGCTATCAAAAGTCTGCACAAACCGTATCCTACGTGAGGTTATAAGCTGAAATCTGATAGTAGTCGAAAACGAACTTTTCTATCAAAAATCGAATTTCCGCCCCAAACTCTAAAAAATTTCTCATTTATCTTAACACATGCTTGACACATTGCACACTCAGTTGTAAACTCTCCGAATTTTTTCCATGGCTAGAAATAAAGAGAAAAATCATTGAGGTAAAATGACAAACCACCTCTAGACTTTCTGAGCTCCTCCCATGCATGTGATCATATGGCTCATACAAACAGAAACACGATCATATACAGGGTGTCCCAAAAAATGTATCGAACGTTTGATCGTTAATATCTCTTCTAAAGAAGTCTTTTTCCTTGCTTCAGGTACCAATCTGTAGAGCTGGCTTCAACTTAGATTTGCATTATAGAACGAATCACTCATCCCTCTTCATTACTGTGGGATTACGGTAGAAACTTCAAGAGGGTTTTAAGCAATGAAAGGCCATATTTTGCCTCAGAAAGGAAACAAAACAGCCTCAAAACTTTTACACTGGGCTAATTAGAGTTGCTGATTATAACTGTAGAATTCCCAACTTGTTATGATGCTTCATTGAAGAGTTATGCCAGGTAAGAGGTAGCGGCCATTTTTTCAATGTTCCTAAAAAGTGCGGTTACACCGTTTATAAGGCTTCTAATCTCGTGAATAGTTGACTATTGAACTAGGCGTCCATAAAAATCCTGTTACACAAGTTTTCACAATTTTTTGAAAAATTTTGAAACGGCAGCTTTTACCACATTGACACCATATGTTTCAAGTTTCTACCGTAATCCTACAGTAATGAAGAGAGATGGGTGATTCGTTCTATAATGCAAATCCAAGTTGAAGCCAGCTCTACAAAACGGTACTTGAAGCAAGGCAAAAGACTTCTTGGGAAGAGAGATATTAACGATCAAACGTTCGATGTATTTTTTGGGACACCCTGTATTTGCATCCTTTGTAGGTGCCCCAGTTCTCGAGAAATGCTGATGTTTAGACATGAGAAATCCCTGATAGGCTCATTCTTCTCGTGCTCGCTCGAACTTTGACGACAAATCTCAGGCACGGTTATGTAGAAGGAATCGTACGCTTCCGCCGCCTTCGGTTGTTATAGATGGCAAATGGTGCTCAATTTACATACCAAAAAAGCAAGACTTTTCAACGATAAAATTTGACAATCTTTCCTTTTGCCGTTAATTTCCGCGTTGTATCAGAAAAACAGTTCAAGGCCCGTATGCACGTACATCCCCGCTGAGGAGGGGAGGGGATCTGAGGGGGGATGCGTCATATCTCGCTACTCTACGTATCTTTCTTCCTCTTTCTCTATCTTGCTTATAAGTTTTTCATACACTTATACTTGCGCATAATGGACGCCAGGTTACTTCCATACAAGATTGGTTTTTTGCCACTTTGTGTGATTCCCATGGGATCCCCTGGGGATCACCTCTCATTTTCAAAGCGATTTATTAGGTTAGCTAATAAATAAGTTCGGTCGCTTTTTCAGCTCTTACAAATGCTGTAGATAAATTTTTGTCCAATGTTTGGTATCTCCGGACAGAGCACTTCAATGGGTATTGGAGCATGTATTCTGTTTGAGTAAAACTTATCTTCCAAGGAAAGAAATCCGCAAAGAAGTGAGAAAGCGCAATTTTTTTATAATGCGCAAATATCAGGTCATTTGGTTTTCGTAAAACATTTTCAAAGTAGCAGATCACAATTTTTTTTGTATTCACTAAATAGGGGAAACTTCTCTGTATCCATATACCAAACTACTATTTTTACATCCATTACAGCATGAAAACGAAGCTTAGGAAGTCGTAGAATTGAACTTTTGGAAATTTCGCCATGTTGAGACATAACTGTCTTTACTGATGTTAGAAAATCCTGAGTATTTGGTATGTGATAGAAGAAGCTCTGAGTTAATTTTCCACAAAGAATCATAAATAGAAAGCGACAATAAAATTTTTCACGATGATTTGTATGCCAAAACGAACTTATTTTTTAGCCAACCTAATATATTCCTGAGAAGTTAATAGAAAAGCTGTAAAATTGTACTGAGGATACACTACTAAGCATATTTTCGACAGAAGAATTGGAGTTTGAAGAAGTAAATCTGTCGATGATCCCTGGCTAGCGAGCTAGGGGTTACCTAAGATTTCGATATCCTAACATTTCACTTATTTCTACTATAATGATTGCGACACCGTAGTATATCCATAGTGCAATTTTACAGCGTTTCATTGGATTTTCAGGGAGATAAAAGGCATTGAAATGGAGAGGACTTCCATACAAGATTGGTGCCATTTTGTGTGATCCCCTGGGCATCCCCTGGGGATCTTCACGGGATCACACAAAATAGTGAAAATCTAATCAACCACGCCAAACCTGGCATCCATTATGCGCAAATATAAGGGTATGAGTATCACAAGCAAGATAGAAAAGGAAGAAGAAAGGTACATAGAGTAGCGATATGAAACATCCCCTCTTAGATCTCCTCCCCTCCCTAGCGGGGATGTATGTGCATACGGGCCTAAATTGTCAGCACTAAATGAAGAGACTGTCCAGTCAAATCTGCGGCGGCATTCAAAATTTGCTACAATCGCGCAAACTGGAAGAATCCGAAGCTGCCAAACATGCCTCCGATAACCTTTAACGCAGCTGGCCTCAATTCTAGGTGAATTGCCACGCCTGAACGATGGTTCCAAAATATGTGTAAGGTCTCGGGCAGGGTTCAGGCGATTTCGTTGCCTCGCGATTCCACAACAAGACAACACTTATAAGTTCAAGGCATGCCAGTCATTTTGCATTTCGGTTGTGAACGGTTTTCCGTCAGGACTAATCGTAGCTAACTATCACAGCCGAAATGCAAAATGATCGGCATGCAATTGACTCGTAATTGTTGTCTTGTTGGTGGATTCGAAAAATCTTCTATAGCTTAAGGAATGTTGTAGTGTCTTCGAAATATGCTGGTAGAGTTCGGAGATCGCGAGGCGATAAAATCGCGTGATCTCTGCCCGAAATCTAAGGCATTACTCAAATAATATCTGCACTAATAAAAGGGTTGGCTTAGTTTCCGCGAAAAGATGAGACTTGTACTCATTTCGTCGAAAATGGGGTAATGTAATTCAGGGTGCGAAAATGGCCATTTTTCTTTAAATTTTTTCGGAAGAATATCAATGTGCCGTACTAAACTTGTCATTTGTCCTTGTAGCAGCACCACTAGAGTTTCACACAACCACCGTATGAGCTCTCTAGCGCTCACTATGCCTGAGCAAATCCTTCCTAGACCGTTCACTTTTCAAGTCGACCTTTTTTCCTTCTGCGCATGCTGGTGGCCCTATATGAAGTGTTGAATATCCATTAAAGTGATCATATTGTAGACTCCATTGCCTTTGTAGGCAGGTTGGAACTCTTAGAAATGACAAATCTTGAAGTTATAGCAACTCAAAAAATTTTTTTCGCAAGTGGCCTAACTTTCTTCACAACCCAGTACTTTCGTAGTGTGAACTTTATCACAACCCAATTTTTGTGATGTGAGCCACGCACACCAGAGCTAACTCAATAAGCCAGTTACCTACTTGCTTTGCAGGGAAAATCGAACGTACTAATGTGACCTTTTGGTGATTCATCGAAAATGCTACTCTGCAGTTGCACTGGCGCAGCTGCACCGAATTTGCACGCAAGGGAATCAATATTGCAGGATGGCAAAGATTGACTGCTGGCTAGTTCAAGATACTTAGAGATGCTATATGTTGGCGTGGGAACCTACAAGAAAAATAATCAAAACTATTCGTATACCTCAATGTCTTCCGCTGTCTCCAAAGTCTTTGCTGGAGAAATGATTTCTGGCGCAATTTTCGTGTCCGTTTCGACGTCAGACATCGCTCAAGCTATCGGAATAACTGCAAAGCTTGCAGAAAATATACAGCTATGATGTGAAGACACATCCGTGAATGGGATAAAGAAATCTACAAACTACTTTACAATCATTTAACAAATGATATGAATTCGTTAGCAGAAGATGTAATCAACAAAATGCACTGCGAAACACTGCGTTTTCAAAATAAAAAAATCTTGGAATAAAAAACCTTTGTGGAACCGAGGCAGACGCGCTGAGGCTGAAAACGCGATGCACGATTCGATTTCCTTCACAACAGAAAACGGCATCCGCGAAAGAGTGCAAGTAAAATGCAAATTGTGGCGCACTTTTGGATCTCACGAACGTTTGAATTCTTTCATGCGGTCAGCACATTATCAACACTTTACTGTGCAGAGAGAGGCAAAACAAACATTGAAAAAACTTTCAGTAGTATTATGCGAAGAAAAGGTTTGCACTGTGCTTGTTTCTTCTATCACAAAATATTGCTTCGCAGGTTATGAAAACCAAGAATAAGGACGGGCTTTTGTCGTGAAAAGAACTTCTTGAAAAAGTCCATTTTGCACAGTCAACGCAGAATAAGTACGCAGGTTCCAACTGAATTGAAACAGTTTGCTAGAAAGCATGGTAGCAACCTTTTGAAAATCTCTCAAGTATTATCGGATATCAAGCGCTAAAATCAAATGTTGCTTTTACCTTTTGACCAAACTATCCACTAACTCCGAACTCCGTCGTTCTAACAAGGGAACGATCCCAACTTAAAGTGGCGAAATAGTATGAACCGCATACCATTGGATGCGTCTTGATGAGCTGGTATCAAATCTGCCTTTTATATCTGCGACACCGTTCTCTGGAAAAAGTTATGAGTGGTTAAATATGTGAAGACAATGGAGTTTCAATGCATAAAGCGCTTTGAAATCCAACTTGGAAGTGCATGATTAGCATGATATTGAGTGTACTGATTTCAAGGAATGCTTAAATTCTAAAGAAACACAAATAAGTGTTTTTGAACAACTAATTTTCGAGAAATGGCGCCGCATATTTGCCAAATTTGGATTTTTCATTGCTCACGCTTTTACCAGAGAGCTTTAGTTGTTTTTTAGCTGTTCAAAAACACTTATTTGTGTTCCTTTTGAATAAATTTGAATGAATGAATTTTCAATTTTCTCTTTCTCGCTCATACATGTCCTCTCACAATACCCAAATCACAAATTTTTTATTTTCTAATCTTTTCATTTTGTCAAAAGAAGGAGGGAGAGGGGGAATTTTGCTTTTTAAAATTTTTTTAATGGTTCGCAAAAAACCTGCAAATCATAAAATGATTTTTTCAAACAAAAATGATTTTCAAAAATGATCAAATGATAAAGAAATTTTTCAATGATAAATGATAGAATGATGAAATCCTCATAAATATGAGAATTTTATATATACTACCCTTGGGTAGTCAGGAGAATGGAGTCGAATTGAAGAGATAGAATAGTCTAGAGAAAGTGTTACACAGAGAGGCTGCCATGACGAAGGCACGCTATCTTTGGGCGCGAACGCGGTTTAATTAGCCTCAGAGCGCATGAGCCGCAGGTTTTGCAAGGGTGAAGATGCGCGCGCGTCGCTTTTGCGCCCGCTCAACTAGTACTGCTTCTTCTCCTTCATCGTGCAGCGCCTTAATTATTTTGTCTGAAAATTTTGCGATGTTGCGTCGATTTAGTAATCCTTGATTTTCTTTGTCAAAAGCTCTATAGATCTTCAAATGTGTCTCAGAGTTTTCCTTGTTGAAATTTCCAAAATTCCAAGTCTTTCATCAAATCATACAAACTTCGTTTGTATTTAGCACACAGGGCTTTCGAAATGGAACCTATGCGGCGTAACCGTCATCGACGACGCAGCGACTGGACTGCAACTGAAGAGGGTAGCAGCAGTTCGGTGAATAGTTAGCTGTTTTTTGAGATAGCATGAAATAGGTTTAGTAATTCATAAAATGGCATAACAGCAACAAAATTTGTTACAATTTGAGAAAACAAAAAAAGGAAAACACCGAGATAATCGGCTAACAATGAAAGCAGGAAAACAGGTTGCAGCGGGTTTCAGAACAGTGTGGTTGTTTTTCCTTTAGAATACGTGCGTGCAGCTACGCGGGTTCGTACTAAAAACTGATTTTTCGAATTTAGCACCCTAGACGCCCTCGGTTGAGCCCTGAGCCGAGTACGAGTTTCGAACCGGCGGCTTCACTCCCTTCATTTGCCGAAGGTGCCGCCGACGAAGAGACAGAACCCAGCCAAGTTGTTGACGAAGAGATGGCAGAACCTAATCACGCCGCTGGTAGTGAGACGGTAGAACTGGGACAAGGTGCCGTTGGGAACGTGGTAGAGCTAGGTAGCATTTTCTTGGAGTAATTCATTATAATTTAATAATTAATAATTAGTAATTAATAATTAATAATTAGTAATTCATTATAATTTAGTAATTTATTGGAGTAATGCCTCTAGCTTTTACCTCAGGGTTTCAAGCGGGCATAGTACACTAATTTCTTACGGAAAATTGCTCTTGGTCAGCTATCATACGCTCACACGTAGCTCGTTCGCTTTTATTGAGCATTACTCAACGGTCGACCCTTTTGCAAATTTGATGGAAGTTTTGGGAACCTTGGAAGACTCAGACAGAGCTCGGAGACTTTTTCGCATTGTCTCTTTAAATAATTCCCATTTCCATGAAGTTAGTTTCCTTGGCATCAAATGGATCAACTGCACTGATATCTTAAGACCCGCAGTCTTCATTAATATGCGGAATAGAATGTTTGCTCTCAAATTGTAAGACCCCTGGCCTGCTATTTCCATTATCTCTTACTTCTGTGTTCTCATAAAATGTCGGAATAAAGTAAATTTGTTGATGTTATTATTTACTGTCTCTGGCGGATTTCAAAGCCACCTTTGCTTCTTATTCCATAACGTCGATATCAAAAAGTTTATAGAGTTCTAACATAAAAGCAGTAATAATAGCTATAATAATCGCCTCAAAGATGTAGATCATGTAGATCATGTCATGTCAAGCTTATCCCATACAAGTTTATCAGCTTATCACAGCCGAGCTTGAATCAAGTTTCATTTTCATTTCAACGTAGACTTCGCTGCTACCTCTACCTGTACGCGCTGGGCTATTGCTGCTATATGACTACATACATTATTGCTGCTATATGACTACATACATTATGTTTAGAGCTCTAGCCATGGCCTACAAAAGTGGAATGTCAAAAAATACGCAGGCGAAAAGGCAAATGCAACAGGGATTTCTTCTCTTACATGAAGAGTCAGCGACGCAAATGAATACTATGGCAAATCATCAGACTCAAGTATGGTTTTCTAAATTTATTAGCCTAATTTGTTCTGCCAAGTGGTATTTTCCGAGGATGTCGTTTATAATAATGAAAGCTAGTACAATACAGTCTCGCAAACGTTTGCATCACACCAGTGCTAAGTTTTATGAGAGCAATTTCCTGAGAGACAGAAAGATGTTTGATTAAATTTTACATTCATGGACGGCCTCTTTAGAGTGCATTCACGGTAGTTAAAAATACTGGGATCAGCATGCATGAAAAACAAATCGAAATATCAAGCAACGAGCTTTCGGAGTCAAGTGAACGTGCGTAGAAATTAAATTCACATTTTGACCTCAATATCTCCAAAAAGTAGGGTTGAATAATTTAGTGGGCTTGGAACGCGTCTATGAGGTTTTGGAACCTGTTGGATTAGTACATGGCGATACAGCGCAGCTACAAGAAATTCCCGGTTCGCAGTTATACCAGTGAAAACCTTAAACTTACTATATGTTTTAGAGCGCACTACTTTAAACCAGAATGGTTGGAGAGATGCCCCAGGTTTATTTCGAAACCTCATTTATATGTTATGAAAAGGTGTCTAAATGCATCATTTGTAGGAGTAGAAGTGACTGAAGCTGGTTCTTTGCCTCATCATTACACGCATACTCTGCCATCCGATGCACTGGGTTTGAGTTTACGCATATAAAGCATAACATTACGATATTTGTTTCAGAAGCAGTGCGCGCATGTTTACTGCGCGAAGTTGGAACAACAGATTTCGCGTCTTCCCTCTATGCAATCGTAGCCAGGGGAGCATCCTTGTCACAAGTATCACTACAGGTATTTCTGCTTCTTGTCGCGGTAGGCAACGAAAACGTCTCCTTTAGAACGCTGCATTAATGTACGCGGCACATTCAGAGGTTTGATATGGAAGACATCTACAAATTAGTGCAAAGTGCCGAAAGGTCCCGTCTTGGGACACTGTATGACGTTATCGAAATTACACGACTGGTAGTATAGAACGCGCTTAGCACTCGAATCCAGGCGAGTGCAATTTGTAAATAAGATGACCTAAATTATTGTGGCATAACCCAAACGAATAACATGGAGAACAAACACCTTTCTAATCTTACATCTTTTTGTGACCAATTACTATTGCTGCACTTTCCAGGAGAATTTGCTCTTGGCAAAGATCAAAGAGCTTGAGGGGCAAGTAAACTCCCTCAAGCAGATGTGCAAGCGCAATGGCGCAGCGACTCACGAAACATCGGGAACAATTTTTGCCTACGAAAGTCTGAAAGGACATCACGTGATCAAATATGGTTCTCCATTTAAGGTATCTAGAACCAAGATTAACTGAGTGACCACAATATACGCTCATCATAGGAAGCAGTCCTGAACGATATTCTAAGGGCATACGCCCCGACAAACAGAGTGAAACACAAAACATGCCTTGTCATCACGGAGTTCCTGCGCACAGTATTCAAACAGGTGTGGTGGTATAAATACATGATTGTTGACATGCCCTTGAAATGCTATAATGCTAAGCTGTTATCAAAGTTCCGCTCGTTTTCATTCCTTTTTTGAATTGTTATTGTTGGAGGAACAACCTTTTTTTCAACATTGCTCATAATATAAATTTCTCTATGTTCATTTTGCATAACTATCTGTCGTCTTTTTTAATCTGTGCAATCGCATGAAGCAAAAAGAACAAGAAAGCAAGATGAAATATTTTGAACCTAGAAAGTAAAAGTTTCTTAAAGATTTGCGCACCGGATCCATCCGACATTTGGAATTATGCTCATCGGACTTCCAACATATCCCGCGAACAAGATTTGATCGACTTGCCGGAATCTTTGATTATAACACTCACGGGTACAACCGGTTATGTGTGATTCCTTTCAAGAACGAATTTTTAAGACTTTGTGCTGGATGCACTGGATCTAGGCTGGCGAGACCTGCAAGGGCACAGGCTTAATGCTCTGAGAAGTTCTCGTGATAGGTGCGTTAGCGTTCTCAATGAGAGTTTTTCTGATGAATAGCATTTCAGCTGGTGGCTATCGTTAGGCGAAACTGACGACGAACGCGACAAAAAGTTCAACAGCCTCCTTGAGAAAAAGTCGTACTGGAGTACTCAAACTGGACTTTGCATTTCCGAAGCGCTGTAAGCTTTTCTATAGTTTTTACCACTTTCGCCACTGAATCTGGGTTTTGCAGTAAAGACATAAGATACTATCGTCTTGATGAAGGAAAACTGGTTCCGTCAAAGGTATAGACTTATATAGAATCAGTCCTTTCGAACCACGTATTTAGTTTTTTCTTTCAGAAATTCAAATCAGTGCAGCGCGGATTCGGAAGAGAAGATAAAGCGCAAATGTCAAAACAGGAATGGAGAAGACTGGCACTTTACATGAGGGAACCACTCCGTCCGCAAGCTTCCTGCTGAGCCAACAAAATATTGCGCTCATTTTTCATCTCTACTGGTATTATATCTACCGCCTCATATGATTGTTCTTCTCTTTCTGTTGCACTAAGTTTTATGCCTTCAACACCAAGTTGGTTCCATGATTGCTTGTATTATTTGAGTTACTGTATAATGTTACTGTATCCTGATCTCTGGAGCATAATCGTTGGTTTCTTTCCTATCGCCATCAAAAAGTTTTTACGCGTGTGTGTTCATTGCCAGATGAAGAGGATGATGATGAATCGCCTGATGTGACTAGCCAGATGTGTGATTGTTGCCAAATGAAAGACATAAATATCATTTCTTTTCCAATTTCATGTGTGTAACCACGTCGATGAGGAAGCTTGCAGAGGAAAGAGCAGAAAATATGCTTACGATAGCATACAGGCCGAATAAATAATCCTGCGGAAGTTCCCAGCACGAGGGATTAATCCTGCGGAAGTTCCCAGCACGAGGGAACTTCCCGAAAGCTTCAATTAGGGAACTTCCCGAAGATGATAGCGGTACTTCCGCAGGTGACCGTCGGGAAATTCCGCTAAGGCCCTCGGGAAGTTCCCGTGAATTGTCTGAGCTGATTTCATAGGATGTTTACATTTAGCGGAAACACAAAGAAGTGTTTTTGATCAACTAAATCTTGAGGTATAACGCGGTATCTTTGCCAAATTTGGACTTTTCATCGCTCATAGCTTCTACCAAACAACTCACTTTGTTTTTTAGTTGCTCGAAAATACTTCTTAGTGTTTCCTATGAATGTAAGCACTCTTTGAAATTAGTACACTCAAAATCATGCTAGTCATGCACTCCCAAGTTGGATTTCAAAGCACTTTATGCATCAAAACCCCATTGTCTTCACATATTTAACCACTCATAACTTTTTCCAGAGAATGGAATTTTGGTTGCAGTTTTGGAATCAGCTTATCAAGACGCATCTAATGATAAGCGGTTTATTCCAGTTCGCCACCTTAATTTGGGATCGTTCCCTCGTAAGATATTAGCCATAGTGCATCGGCCTTCGCAGTTTTCGAAACAGCAAACAAATTCAGTAGGGAAAAAAACGAATTTTCCGTAGTGTCGCTGCAAATGATCTGAAAGTTCGGTATTAGGAAGAGTAGAAAAAAGGTAGACAATTCATTTCAAAAAATGAGTGTTTTAAAAGCAAAGCTTGTATTCGCAATCAATTCGACGAAACTTGCACCGTTTCTTTTTGTACACGCATAGCGCCAATGCTGAGATAATATCGTGATTTCCCACATTATAGCGGGCGGAGCTTTGCCGACGTTTGCCAACGTATTCGCGTGGAAGTTTTTGATAGCTAGAGATTGAGAAACCAATGCTTTAAAGTGGAGGTTCAACAAGATTTTCAAAGTGTTCATATGTCTGCAGGGCCACGCCCGCTATACGCATAGAAAACGCCTATACCTATTGCGTTCCTTTCTACCTTCAAAAAAAAAGGCTATGCTAATGCTATAATAGATTGGCTGACTGTGCAAATCCTGATAGGTCACCTCGATTTGAAGAGCCAGAGAGAGTAAGAGAGTAAGCACTAATGATCCGGCTCCATTACTGCTTTCACTACTTTCATGCTAAATGTAACCCTGGTATGGATAAGGCTTCGGGAGGACAAGTCACTGACGATACGACCTTCCAGACTCTAACAAAAGTGATGACACCGAAACGTTAGCCTGACTCAATAAAGAGTGTTACCAATCTCGATAATGGAAAAAAACACAAGTCATAAAGGAAGATTGCTGAGTAAAGCAACTTTAGATTTCTCTAGGCGGAAACACTGAAAAAATCTTTTGTGAACCATATTGTATCGAAGACAGCTCCAACATCGCTACTGAGTTTCATGAATGAGTAACGAACTTTTATATCAACAGTCTTTGTATACAAAACATGGACAAGAAACCCTTCGCAATGCTTAACTTCCTTTCTGAACATTTAGATAAACTGACCTAACGATAACACTCGCATAATATTGTAAATCTACTAAAATTGTTTGTCCATGTTTGTTATGAGATCAAAAGTGATTTAGACAAAGTCTACCCTTTGTTTCATTTGGAGTCGCAGGCAGGCTCGTGCGGCTCCATTCTCACGCGGCCGAATCGCTTGCTCCACACCTCTTTCGCGAGCGTGCTCTATGAAATTTTTCCATATTCGAGCTTGAGGAAGGCCAAGCTTTGATCCTTGATTGAGAGTGGCAAAATGGTCAGAGCAAAAGAGCAACCCGCACAAGAGGTGCAAGGCCCAAGGTCGTGCAAGATTCAAGCCGTATGATCCAGCAAGTTCAAAGAAACAGAGGAAAAGTTTTAGTGACTTTTGACTTTTCCTTAATATTCTACAAAGTGGTAGAGTTGCGCGAGCTATGAGCTTCTTCAGTCCACGTACACCTGCACTCAACACAACAGCCTCTGAATTGGCCCTCTTCGAGTCACAGCCTTTGCATCAGAAATTCAAAATAAGATCTACTGGCATTGTCTACACGAAACCATGGAAATAACCCTTGAGACATAATTCTGCTGAGCTTCTGCGAAAAAGCACGAGTTTGCTGCCCGCATGTCTGGAATTTTGGGGAGTGGCCAAACCTTCCGAGCGGTACTTCCTTTCTCAGACAATTCACGGGAACTTCCCGAGGGCCTTAGCGGAATTTCCCGACGGTCACCTGCGGAAGTACCGCTATCATCTTCGGGAAGTTCCCTAATTGAAGCTTTTGGGAAGTTCCCTCGTGCTGGGAACTTCCGCAGGATTAATCCCTCGTGCTGGGAACTTCCGCAGGATTATTTATTCGGCCTGTATGCTATCGTAAGCATATTTTCTGCTCTTTCCTCTGCAAGCTTCCTCATCGACGTGGTTACACACATGAAATTGGAAAAGAAATGATATTTATGTCTTTCATTTGGCAACAATCACACATCTGGCTAGTCACATCAGGCGATTCATCATCATCCTCTTCATCTAGCAATGAACACACACGCGTAAAAACTTTGTGATGGCGATAGGAAAGAAACCAACGATTATGCTCCAGAGATCAGGATACAGTAACATTATACAGTAACTCAAATAATACAAGCAATCATGGAACCAACTTGGTGTTGAAGGCATAAAACTTAGTGCAACAGAAAGAGAAGAACAATCATATGAGGCGGTAGATATAATACCAGTAGAGATGAAAAATGAGCGCAATATTTTGTTGGCTCAGCAGGAAGCTTGCGGACGGAGTGGTTCCCTCATGTAAAGTGCCAGTCTTCTCCATTCCTGTTTTGACATTTGCGCTTTATCTTCTCTTCCGAATCCGCGCTGCACTGATTTGAATTTCTGAAAGAAAAAACTAAATACGTGGTTCGAAAGGACTGATTCTGTATAAGTCTATACCTTTGACGGAACCAGTTTTCCTTCATCAAGACGATAGTATCTTATGTCTTTACTGCAAAACCCAGATTCAGTGGCGAAAGTGGTAAAAACTATAGAAAAGCTTACAGCGCTTCGGAAATGCAAAGTCCAGTTTGAGTACTCCAGTACGACTTTTTCTCAAGGAGGCTGTTGAACTTTTTGTCGCGTTCGTCGTCAGTTTCGCCTAACGATAGCCACCAGCTGAAATGCTATTCATCAGAAAAACTCTCATTGAGAACGCTAACGCACCTATCACGAGAACTTCTCAGAGCATTAAGCCTGTGCCCTTGCAGGTCTCGCCAGCCTAGATCCAGTGCATCCAGCACAAAGTCTTAAAAATTCGTTCTTGAAAGGAATCACACATAACCGGTTGTACCCGTGAGTGTTATAATCAAAGATTCCGGCAAGTCGATCAAATCTTGTTCGCGGGATATGTTGGAAGTCCGATGAGCATAATTCCAAATGTCGGATGGATCCGGTGCGCAAATCTTTAAGAAACTTTTACTTTCTAGGTTCAAAATATTTCATCTTGCTTTCTTGTTCTTTTTGCTTCATGCGATTGCACAGATTAAAAAAGACGACAGATAGTTATGCAAAATGAACATAGAGAAATTTATATTATGAGCAATGTTGAAAAAAAGGTTGTTCCTCCAACAATAACAATTCAAAAAAGGAATGAAAACGAGCGGAACTTTGATAACAGCTTAGCATTATAGCATTTCAAGGGCATGTCAACAATCATGTATTTATACCACCACACCTGTTTGAATACTGTGCGCAGGAACTCCGTGATGACAAGGCATGTTTTGTGTTTCACTCTATTTGTCGGGGCGTATGCCCTTAGAATATCGTTCAGGACTGCTTCCTATGATGAGCGTATATTGTGGTCACTCAGTTAATCTTGGTTCTAGATACCTTAAATGGAGAACCATATTTGATCACGTGATGTCCTTTCAGATTTTCGTAGGCAAAAATTGTTCCCGATGTTTCGTGAGTCGCTGCGCCATTGCGCTTGCACATCTGCTTGAGGGAGTTTACTTGCCCCTCAAGCTCTTTGATCTTTGCCAAGAGCAAATCCTCCTGGAAAGTGCAGCAATAGTAATTGGTCACAAAAAAGATGTAAGATTAGAAAGGTGTTTGTTCTCCATGTTATTCGTTTGGATTATGCCACAATAATTTAGGTCATCTTATTTACAAATTGCACTCGCCTGAATTCGAGTGCTAAGCGCGTTCTATACTACCAGTCGTGTAATTTCGATAACGTCATACAGTGTCCCAAGACGGGACCTTTCGGCACTTTGCACTAATTTGTAGATGTCTTCCATATCAAACCTCTGAATGTGCCGCGTACATTGGTGCAGCGTTTCCTAAAGGAGACGTTTTCGTTGCCTACCGCGACAAGAAGCAGAAATACCTGTAGTGATACTTGTGACAAGGATGCTCCCCTGGCTACGATTGCATAGAGGGAAGACGCGAAATCTGTTGTTCCAACTTCGCGCAGTAAACATGCGCGCACTGCTTCTGAAACAAATATCGTAATGTTATGCTTTATATGCGTAAACTCAAACCCAGTGCATCGGATGGCAGAGTATGCGTGTAATGATGAGGCAAAGAACCAGCTTCAGTCATTTCTTCATCACCCCCCTTGGGGATGATCAGCATGCTCGATTACCCCCTGTGCCAACTCCCAGCCCCCTAGCTCAAACTTTGCAAAAAAATCGATAAAATCGATAAAAGTAATCGATAATCCTGAAAACCAATATTGTATTCGGAATCCCCATGCTCGATTACCCCCCTGTGCGAACTCCCAGCCCCGTAGCTCAAACTTTGCAAAGAAATCGATAAAATCGATAAAAGTAATCGATAATCCTGAAAACCAATATTGTATTCGGAATCCCCATGCTCGATTACCCCCCTGTGCCAACTCCCAGCCCCGTAGCTCAAACTTTGCAAAGAAATCGATAAAATCGATAAAAGTAATCGATAATCCTGAAAACCAATATTGTATTCGGAATCCCCATGCTCGATTACCCCCCTGTGCCAACTCCCAGCCCCGTAGCTCAAACTTTGCAAAAAAATCGATAAAATCGATAAAAGTAATCGATAATTCTGGAAACCAATATTGTATTCGGAATCCCCATGCTCGATTACCCCCCTGTGCCAACTCCCAGCCCCGTAGGTGAACTCAGCAAAAAAATCGATAAAAATCGATAAAATCGATATCGATCGATGACGAAAAGTAGCCTATGACACCCGCCGGGGCCCGAAGTGTATGTGTGCCAAGTTTGGTCCGGATCGGTTCAGAAATGGAATTTTCTATTCGGAACATACGTACACACAGACATACAGACAGACAGACAGACAGACAGACAGACAAACAGACATTCAGCTTTATATATAAGATATATTAAGCTGATGCATAATTTCTGCACCAAGATACAGACCGCTATAATCCGGAATCTACATTCCGAGTAGGATTCGATTATACCATTAGATAGAACAAACCTAGCTTTACAAGGCAGTGCTTAAAGTTTCGCAGCAGCTTTGATTCAAGAGAAGATTAAAGCCAAAAACGAAAAAGATCCAAGCGCCCTAAAAAACCAAGAAAAAATTGGATGTTTGTTTAGAAAAATCCTTCAAGATTCCTAACTTGCTCATGCGTTGTCATTTCGTGTAAAACATTCTTCTATGCATTTGCTGTATTTATCTCTCAGCTAGAGACTGAGAAAACGAAGTTTTTCATGTTTTTTCCAAAACAATGCTGAGATGTTCTAGCACAGACAGTTGTATACTATAGGACCTTAGAAGTGTGAACTTTCAGCTTTTTACAACAGCTGATTTACGAGAAATATCAAAATTTTAGCAACTAGGCAAGAAAGATTCGGATCAGGAGAGCTAGATTCGTCATTTCTCGTGAACTAGCTGTTTTAGAAGGCTGAAAAAGTAAAGTTTTACTGCTAACGGCATGTACTATACAACTATTAGTGCTAGAACATCTCAACACTAATTTGGCAAAAACAATGAAAAACTTCGTTTTCTCAATTTCTAGCTGAGAGAAGAATACAGCAACTGCGTAGAGAAGTCTTATACCAAATGACAATGCATTAGCAAGTTAGGAATTTTGAAGGAATTTTCTGAACGGACTTCCAATCTTTCCTTGGTTTTCTGGGGCGCTTGGATCTTTTTCGTTTTCGGCGCTTAAATCTTCGCTTGGATCAAAGTTGCTGCAAAACATTGACACTATCTGTAAAGCTAGGTTTGCTCTATATAATGATATATCGATGGAATATTGGATTACTTCAGATATTGGTCTGCTTGGTCTGTACCTATTTGGTGCAGGAATTATGCATCAATCTAATATGTAAAAAGAATCCATGAGTGTTTGGACAGAGCCAAAAAATTCTCATTTAGCGAGAAAATTGTTAACAGGATCGATATCGGAACAACTTTGTTGTATAACGGACTTTTGAATCGGAATGCCTTGAAAGGCAGTTCTTGTTGCGGGAGTGCTGGGTATGTTGGGTATTCGAGACGTCAAACTTTCTAAACTCCAAATAAAGCAAATTTTCCTAAAAGTTCATATAGGATACTAGAAAACCTTGGTATACTTCAGATGGGCCACTACGGAAATCAGAGCATTTTTCCGAGTTCACCCCAACAAGCTCTTTTCTCAGTGAAACAAAATGGTCTTCTTGAAATTCGCTCTAAGATGAGATTATATTTTTGAGAGGTGAATTTATAGTATATCACGAATTTACAGTGTGATCACGAGCTCTAGATGCTTGAGTTTAACGATGAATGAGAACCTATTAAAAACAAATCCAACACAACATCATCAGGTGTTGGCTCCAACATTATTAGCATTATTAGCTTAACCAAAAGAATTTCTTGTTGGACTGCCTAGGCTCAAACTCTTGGGAGTATGTTAAGCACCCCTTTCATCCACTTCGCTATTGGTCAAATCGATGAAGTGATGAAGTGACCAATAGCGGAGCGAACATCCAATCCAGATGATTTACTTCGTAAACTTTCTACTTGTCAGTTCACTAATTTGGCAATAGCGAAAGAATGAAGAGAATAACAACGATTACAACGACAAAGTGTTTGCAGCACCTATGGCAGAAGCGGATCTTCAGTTCAGCAGCGTTGGAACTCGGAAGGGGATAGGCGGATGGTTTGTAACTTGAAAAAGGAAGGAGTGTGATAAAGATCTATGGGCAAAGAAAGGAGTTTGGTATAGATTTATGGCCAAGAAATTACAATTGTTTGGAATGGCTTTGTCCACCCCACAACAAAGTTTCAATCAAAGCACATACACCTCTTTTCTTATGGCTACTATCATGATGATATAACATATATGACAAGTTTGAAGCGAGTTTTCAGCACCATGATGGAAGAAAGCTAAGCTTCGTGATTGATAAACCAGGAGCTTCAGTGACCAAACGCTATGTAAATGGGAAGGCTTGTTCAGTAAGGACTTAGTCATCTTATATTAGGTTGCTGCATAAGTTCTGTCCGAAATTTTTTGCCTTATGTTTGAAGCAGCTGCTCTAAGAGGATCTCATCTCTGATGCGATATTGTTAGCATCATTAAAAAGTGCTTTTCTTGCGCATTCTAAAGCATATTAATTTTCAATAAACTTCTTAGTGTAAGGAGATTTCAGGCCTAAAATCTCCAAGTGGTCGAGGTACGTTCTCACCCTAGAAATATGCTCTTGCGAGGAAATCTCCATAATGCGCCCAATAGGTCAAGTTTTTTAATCGGTTCCGGAATAAGGGTGTAACAGGCTAGCATACGTATAAGTTCAGTTTCATGAAGAAAACGTCTTGCTAGTAAAATTTATTGTCAAACATTAATTTTCTGTACAGATGTTTTACAAGCAATAACTTTCTGTGAATAGAAGTAATCGACGAATTCAAAGTTGGAGGCGCTAGCGTAAAGCAAGGGCTAGCAGAAACCATCTACCAATTTCTTTTCGGCGCTCACGTTAATTGTAAAATTTTCATAACTCGTAAATAGGCATGCACACATGCACTGAAGCGAGGTCAAAAAGTGGCTTCTTTTTTGCTCGGTCAAAAAAATCTCTCGGCAACGCATACCCTATGGGCTCTTTTATGTCCCAAAATAATCTGCGAAAAATTCTCTATCTATCCATTGTTGGACAAAATGCTATCAATTCTCGTAAGGGAGCACTGCCATGTCAAAAAAGACAGGTTTGAAGAAAAACGCTGTGAAGTTTTTGAGTTCTTTCTCCTTGCTTTACAAGGATTTTCGCAGGTTTTAATATGTGTCTGATAGCCAAGGAATTACCCAACACACAGAAACTAAAATCTTGGAAAAATGTTGACTTTGAAGAGAGTTATGACATTTTGAACTCAAAAATTTCAAATCGGACAGAACTTATGCAGCAACCTAATATATAAAGCTGAATGTCTGTTTGTCTGTATGTCTGTCTGTCTGTCTGTCTGTATGTACGTATGTTCCGAATAGAAAATTCCATTTCTGAACCGATCGGGACCAAACTTGGCGCACATACACTTCGGCCCCGGCGGGTGTCATAGGCTACTTTTCGTATCGATCGATATCGATTCTATCGATTTTTTGCAAAATTTGAGCTACGGGGCTGGGAGTTGGCACAGAGGGGTAAGTGAGCATGGGGATTCCGAATACAATAATAGTTTTTAAAATCGTGCATTACTTTTACCCCCGTGGGGGTGATCAGCATGCTCGATTACACCCCTCTGCCAAATTCCATTCCCCTAGCTCAAATTTTGCAAAAAATCGATAAAATCGGTAAAAGTAATGCACGGTTTCGAAAACTTATATTGTATTCGTAATCGGCATGCTCGATTACACCCCTCTGCCAACTCCCAGCCCGGTAGCTCAAATTTTGCAAAAAATCGATAAAATCGATATCGATCGATGACGAAAAGTAGTATGACACCTGCGGGGGCCCGAAGGGTATGTGTGCCAAGCTTGGTCCGGATCGGTTAGGAAATGGAATTTTCTATTCGGAACATACGGCGGAGCCGGGTAAGCCAGCTAGTAAACAATATACATACATCGTAGAGAATCCCTTGCCAGCTATTTGGTTTCCCCACTGCTTTGACTCTATATTTACTTTGCTGATGCTTAAGTACCACACTAACCTTGAAACCTTGAATTTTCTTAAAACTGTCCAGTCAAATGGGGTAGTGAGATTTCGATGCAGTGCGGGAGCACGACTCCTGACTAAGGAAATAGTTAAAGTCTGATCGAAAAAGATAGATTCTGAAGCGATTTTCTCGCTTCGGAAAAACGGGGAGTCCACCAATCCCGCCTTCTTGACAAGTTTTGACGTGGCGAATGCTTGGGTACAATGTATAAACCACGTCAAACTTGTCAAGGGGCGAGACTGGCGAACCGCTCCTTTTTGAAACAATTTTCTCGCTTCAGAATCCACTTTTTCGGTCGGACTTGAACTTTTTCATTGGTCAAGAGCCGTGCTCCCACTACCCCCCCCCCCATTTGACCTAGACAATGCCTTTAAGTCCATTCATTTTTCGTTCAAGACGTCATATTGTCCTGAGGTGTATTATTGTTCTTTATGCTGACTATAGCTTGAAGTCTCTCTTTCATACTAGGCGCC